GAAAAATCATTGTATGGTTTACTGTAGGAGAAATCATTGTATGGTTTACTGTAGGAGAAATCATTGTATGGTTTACTGTAGGAGAAATCATTGTATGGTTTACTGTAGGAGAAATCATTGTAAAAATCTAGATTTTGCAACATGTATTACATAACAATTATGTTTAAGTGACATTGATATTTTACATGACAGATACATTAAAGTTACATTATATGACAGATAATCATTAATTGTACAAACAATAAAGACAAACCATAAATAAAATAGAGAGCTTTCTTGTTGTAGGATTTAGGAACAAGTGTCAAGTACCCCCCATATCTATAAAACTTCTCCAGGATGCACACCCACTCTGAAAACATTCACACAAAACTCAAAAAGGTGAAGTTAGATAAACTCATCTGTCAAATGTAACTGACTGACGTTGTAGGTGGCAGTCATACTGACGAAACAGCCAACTGTTCTCGATCACTCAAGGTTTAACACATTGGAAATACATATTGACATTCAGCTGCTTCATCTGTCAATTTAGCATGTCAACTTTGTTTGTTTATAACAAAAGGAAAGGTAGTTATGTAACAAACTCTGTATAATTTATGTTTTTTCATGAGTTAACCATTAAGTATACGTCATTTGTAATATTTTTGCCATCCACACTGTGATCAGTACCGGAGGAGATAAAGGAATGAATTATGTGTTTATATGACTACTGAGATTTACATGGAAGGGGTCGTTGTGAAACCTTTAGATGTTTATCCTTCCAGGGATCGCCATGTACATCTTTTTGATACACCCATCTGTCCATATGTCCGTCTGTCATAATGTTGTCCAGAGCATATCATAAAATTTATAAGAGGTATCAACACAAAACTTCATAGGTAGATAGATCTCGATAAGGTGAAGTACAATGCACAAGAACCATAACTCTCTTTTGCATAATTAGCCCTTTTGGAATTAGCGTTTTTTCGGGAAGCATCTGTCAGTTCTACCAATTTTCTTGTTTTGTTCATATTTTTACCCCACAGCCCAAAAGGGTATGGGGTATTGCGATCACACACGGCGTCCGTCCATCTCTCCGTCTAGGCGTCCGTCCGTCCGTCCATCGAGCCGTCCGGCCATCCATCCACAATTGCATACCGCTTATTAGCTCAAAAACTACATCAGCGGTCATCACCATTTTCACTGGGAATGTTGGGCCTATGGACCTACACAACCCATTCTTGAGATAACTTTCCACTCATCCCAACCACACATTTCCAACTTTATAATAAGGCTGTGGGGTATCGCCCGTGTTTGCAGAGCTATTTTTACTAGATTCATCCAGTTTGAGTTTGAAAAGAATTTTTATCCTTTTGGGGATTTCCTTTCTTGCCATCAAAATAACATAGACACTTTTAAACGAAACTTTCAGCCAAAAAAGTTGTTATACTCCATCAAAAGCAGAGATCAGCAGGTCACCCTGTCCTTTTGTTACAGTAATAGACAACTTATCAAGACATGAGGTCAAGGGTCATTTTTTCATTAGAAAAATCCCAATTGGTGTATGAAAGGGATCCTATTTGATAATCATGGAAATAGTATACGTTTACATTGTACAACACTGTCTCATTCACATGCATGTAATCTCCAATCTTCTTTGTATGTTAGAACAGGTTTGAGTGAAACTGTGTTGCATACCATTAGAAATGTTTTAAATGATTCATTTCAGTCCTGAAGAATGTGTCTGTGTAAACTTTACTTCAGAATTTCCGAATATCTGTCTGTGTGTTCGCCATGTGTTCACACTCATTGTAACAAGATTCCTGTGAAATCCATTAGCATGCAATATTACATGAAACAGTTACAGGAACACTATCAACAAATTCTTACATCACCATGGCCTAATATTAATAAGATTTCAAACAGACTAATTCTTACATTACCTTGGCCGAGTAAACATAAGATTTCAAACACACAAATTCTTACATTACCTTGGCCTAATATTAATAAGATTTCAAACACACAAATTCGTACATTACCTTGGCCTAAAGATGATAAGTAACAAAGAGAAATTCTCTTCATGAAGTACGATCAATTGATACAGCATTTGACTTGTTAAAAGTTACAAAATATCAAAAGTCACTATATATTGGTTCAATGCTCAGTGATGGTTCTTGTCATTGGTAGTACGTTTTGGAAGTAATCACTGATGGTTCTTAATGGTTTTGGGAATGATCAATGATGGCTCCTTGTAATCATTGTAAACTGGTTTTTAAGTGATCATTGATAGTTCTTGTCACCAATAATTGATGGTTCATACAAAACTAGGATATGTCAAATAGGCCTTAAAGAAATCTTTGAAATTCATTTAAAGAGTAAAAATTGTTCCAAAGTTACGATCAGTCTCTAATACACAGTTTAGCCATTTCACTAACATCCTCAGAAAAAATCAAAAAATTTCTTAACAAGATTTGAATCTTTTTATAGTTGTTTTAATAAATGTTTTCAATATGAAGGCTTAAATTTGTATAATTTTGTTTTCACAGACTAAACAAATGCTCTCACACACAAACACACCCACACATTTTTTTCAAAGTTATTATGTGACATACATTATGGATGTAAAAACCTGTTTATAAAGATCAGTAATATTTATTTACAACATCACATGCTTACTGATAAAATACTCAACAGTTAGAAGTCAACATTCTGTTAATAGCTTTTATTAAGAAATTTTTTTTTTTTTTTTTTTTACGATGTAACTTGTTGATGCATCACTGTCTCTGGACCACACAGGGATATATAACCGAACAACAAGAATGTTGACGTCTTCATTCTAAATTTGTAGAAATACCTTATGTAAGATTTTAATATATGGTTGGTTTTAGGTGTTTCATGACAGGAAATGATTGAAATGTATATAAGCTCTCTTGTAATATTTTCAATACTTCTAGGCTTACTCTGTCAGTTCTAGCCGAACATATAACTCCATAATGTGAAACATTATTACTATACACTGACTTTTTCTTAACATGTATATCATCTATGTATTTATATAGGAAATGCTGCAATATGACCTGAATTCTTTTTATCAATAATTCAAAAAAGTTTGCAGGTTTTGTTAAATGAAATATTGAAAAAAATGCACTTAAGTTTCAAAAAGGAAGTTAAAAATTAAACTTCATTATGATCTCATTACATTAAAGTTCTCCAGTTGCTGAAATATTGCACAAGTTTTGTTTATCGTTCTTTGATCTAGAGGTTTAATGACGAAATCGTATATATACTTATCACTGCCTCTGTGATTGGATTGTAATTGGGCAGAGTGACTCTCTCGCAGTCTGGTAAGCGCCAGGTTCCATTTTTATCAAATTTACCAGACAAGTGAAACATTTTAGATATTTAAATGCTTAAAAATGATGCAATCAGATTTAAACAATTTCTATATCTGGATGATAAGAGGTCTCTGTGTCTCAACACTCATATATTGCATATTAAAAACTATTTGAAAATCTTCAAAATAAAAAAAGAAAAGAAAATTAGAGATTATGTGGGATCTTTTTGGATGGTATGGTGCAACCATGTAGAAAGAGATATCAAATTTTTCTCTTTGATTTGACCCTTTGTGAGGACAATGTTAATGTCCTGTGTTTTAAATTACCTTCAAAGATACTTTTGGAATATCTTAAGGAAACTTTTTCTGATAAAAACACAAATTGCTATACAATATACGCTATTATGCAGCAAATAAAAGGTAGTGTTCGAATGACCTTTTAATTAACAAATTGTATCACAACAGGAAAAAATCTGCCAGCTTGATGTTCACCACAGTTAAATCCTTATGTCTAGTCTTTATTTAATCTACAACATTCAACCGTACAAAAGGAGCCAATGGAAAAATTTCAGATATGTCAAAAAAGGTTTTTTTTTAATTGGATAAATAGATACATGTTAAGATGGTGGTTTTTTATTTAATTGTCAATACAGAAACAAAACCGATAGAAATGGTCATCACTGAAAATCAGACTTTTTTTATCAGGTTTATCTACACTAGTGACTTCATTTTGATTGGAGTTGTTTGAAAAATCAAGTTTGAGAATAGCCTTGAATGAGTTTATGTTTATGAGTTGGAAGGTCAAGGTCACTATTGTTGTTTATAAAAAATCACTGACAAATTTAGTGTCAATGCTTATAGTAACTTTACTTCTTTATTGACTTCAGTTGTGATTTTTTTTTTTTACACCAGGGGCATGGTGAGAGTGGTTTGTGTATCATGGTTCAAAGGTCAAGGTCACTTTACTTTCAATATAGAAAGCACAGACATGGAGAATTCATTTCTGAGGCGTTTTCTAGTTTATAATATTATCTACAAATTAATTAGCTGAATATAACAAGAAAACAGCCCAGATATAAATTAAATTTGTTAAATTGTGATAATGCCATGTATCATAGTCTGCTTGAAAACCACAAGATGTATAACAGTAGATTTGGCCTAAAGCTAAATCTGTCAGGTTTTATACAACAGACAGATAAAATTAAGTTGTTTACATCTTCTGCTGTTTATTAATCCCTTGTAAGTGCCACTAGCAACATAATGTCATGCAGATTCAGCATTTTGGTGTATCCTGAAGTTCTGGATACACTGAACAGTTTTATCTGGCTTGCATGCATTATTAAAATGCTCTATACTTGAGTTTGTTCTCACAACCACATTGTGTATTTCTGAAACAATCTTATTTTGATAAATGATTTCATTACGAATACCCAAATCTATATAGTGCCTCTAAGTAACTGAAAACACTCTTTGAAGTGCTTTTCAGGTTCAAAGGTCAAAGGTCAAGGTATGTTTCTATAAAAAGGAACATTGATTTTCATATAACATGAAGAATTTTTTTCACCAAATGAATAAAGGCTGTTCTTTAAGTCCTGAAAGGAAACTTAGATTTTGCGTAAAAAGAAATGATTTTTAATGGTTATCTGTGCCTTTTGAATTCTTTCACAATTACTTGTTTTGTTTGTTTCAGAATCAAAGACATGTTGAAGTTATTGGCTACACAACACAAGGACAGATTTCACAGGTAAGACAGTATTCACAGTAACATCAGTTCCATGGATAGGAGGAAGTAAAAGAAAATCAGATTTTGCAGGCAACACCCTTGAGATTTTTAGGAAACCAAAATCTACAGGTAGAACAGATTCCACTGTTAGAACAGATTCCACAGGTAAGAAAGATTCCACAGTAAGGACAGATTCCACAGGTAGGACAGATTCCACAAGTAGGACAGATTGGTCTGGTAGGACAGATTGGTCTGGTAGGACAGATTCCACAGGTAGGACAGATTCCACAGGTAAGAAAGATTCCACAGTAAGGACAGATTCCACAGGTAGGACAGATTGGTCTGGTAGGACAGATTCCACAAGTAGGACAGATTCCACTGGTAGGACAGATTGGTCTGGTAGGACAGATTGGTCTGGTAGGACAGATTCCACAAGTAGGACAGATCCCACTGGTAGTACAGATTCTAAAGATAAGACAGATTCTGCTGGTAGGACAGATTCTAAAGATAAGACAGATTCCACAAGTAGGACAGATTCTAAAGATAAGACAGATTCCACAGGTAGGACAGATTGGTCCGGTAGGACAGATTCTAGAGGTTACACAGATTCCACAGCTAACACAGATTTAACATAAAAAACCCAAATACAAGGATACCAGATTCCATAGCTTGCCCACAGCACACAGGTAAACCAGCATTCACAAGTCATTTGGACAATTGGACAGACAGATTTAGTAGGTCAGAATGATACAGTGCATGGGACAGACAGGTCGGAAATTACAGAGTCCATTCGACAGACAGATTTATCAACATAGAATGACAGTCAATTGGACGGACAGATTTATCAACATAGAATGACAGTCAATTGGACGGACAGATTTAGCGGTTAAGAATGAGTCCATTGGACAGACAGATTTATCGACATAGAATGACAGTCAATTGGACGGACAGATTTATCAACATAGAATGACAGTCAATTGGACGGACAGATTTAGCGGTTAAGAATGAGTCCATTCGACAGACAGATTTCGCAATCAAAATGAAACTAGATTCCAGGATAAGAAAAATAGATATGATATATAACTGGTGTCTGGAAATCAAAGATAAATGATAAAAGAGATTTCAAGGACTTCTGTTACATCACAAAAAAGTAAACTTCATAACAGAAACATAACAAAATGCTGCATTTGCAAAACCAAACATTTTAGTCATCAAAAAAAAAAAAAAAAAAATAAAACTCGATAAAAGCTTTTTATCGTGAAAATTCTTTCTGTTAACAGCACCGATTTTTAATCAGCCGTATCATTTTATGGATGTGTGACAGAGCAGAACAAGTGTTTGGCGAAACTGTTAGAACAGTATCAAAGCTGTATTGAGGTACTATCTAATCGGAAACATCCTTAAAATCTCCTAAAATTCTCATCTATCACACCATTACACAGCAGTAAACATGCTTCCACATTTTTATAAAACTGCAGATTGAAATTCTCCTTAGAGATTGATTGTTGTAGATTGGCGGTCCGTAAGTTTGATATTCAGATGACTTAATTTTGATACACCCCCAGGTTTATTTATAAAATTTTTAGTTTATTTATAAAATCTTTCGATGATGTTTCTGATATCAAAATATTCTCCCTCCACAAAGGTCAAGGACACCGATGAGGTCAAGGTCAATTGTCTTCATTCCTTGTGTCAGCATTAATATTTTTGTTTTTTCTTCAGTATAAAAGTAACACGCAGATTCCTTCTTTGTTTGTTGGTTCATGAAAAGTAAATGAAAAATTTCAAGATGTTAAATATTCATATTGCATTTAATATTATACTACTTGTTTTGTTTGTTGTAAAAAGTGAAATATATTTATTTGATTAAATTTTTTTTTAATTTACACAGTTATAATTTCTGAAGCCTCTCATTGTCAGAAAAATCTTGATTTTTTCTTTGAATATTGATGTTAAATTTTTTATTTTTTGTCTGATGATAAAATGTATGTTAATAAAAATATACATTCTAACGAAAATGACATCGGATGATTTGGTCACACCTATACAGCTGTTCATTGTATAACTTGCAAAATGGCGCAGTAGGTAGAATGACTGTTGGCCAATATCTGAGGGGCATTGGTCAGAGATCCTTACTTCTGGCAATTTGTGTTTCTCAGGAAGCTAAAAAAACTTATCAGTCTCTGCTGTCATAGTTGTGTCCTTGGGCAAGACTCTTTATTGTTCTTGATGACATGTGATGGACCTCCGGTATGTTGTTCAGTGAGGTTACATATACAGACACCATTTACTGTAATGTCCTGGAGAACCTGCCTCAAAATGACCCTGGTTGATCATGGCAATGAACCCAGCGAACAAAAGTATTCTTTACAAACAGTGTTCCTGCCTACGGTGTTTAATTATTGCTGTGAGAAAGAAAAAAAATCAAAATAGGAGACGTAATCTAGTTAAATATTTGTATTGAAGAGTTCCCACGGATCTGGATTCGGTTTTTCCAGTGTTTATCCCTTCGAAAACATTCAGGTAGATTTAGATTTTAGTATGTATTAGTAACCTTTGCTGAACAATGTACTTAAACAGGTCAATTTTTTCTTTCAGTCAGTAATCACTTTTTTCAGACTTGGTATGTTTATGCTCCTTGAAGGGAGAGCACATCATTGCCGTTTGTCCATTTGTCTGTCCGTTTGACCGTCCTGCCGTCCTTCATAATATTTGCTGGAGCATATCACAAAAACTATAAGATGTATCAACATGAAACTTCATAGGTAGATAGATCTCGATAAGGAGAAGTGCAGTGTACAAGAACCATAACTCTCTTATGCATAATTTAGGGGTTATTGAAACTTGGTGAATACATTGATCATATTAAGAGAATGTGCCGTATACCAAATTCAGGGCCTGCAACTTCTTAACTGCAAAATTATTGTTCTTTGATTGATTTTTGTGTGCCATAAAGTCATTTTCATTGAACAGTCATCAGCTTCTCTGATACTCTTCCTTGACTTCAGGTTGATATGTTATTAGACAATATTTGGAGCACGGTATGAAATTCTTCTTTTGGAATCTAAAATATCAAGATAAAGTGTCTGATAGACAGGACTATAAAACGTAAAAATGGGTACTAAAATCGCCATCTTGTTTATCATAGTTTTGATCAATCTTAAGTGGTTGGGGTATACTTATATGATTATATCCCCTTAACAGGGTAGAAAGGAGAAGAATACAATGGCCAATTCAGGAGAGGACTAATTTCTGGCACATCCTTCTGTGTTCAGCTTCATTGGATCTTTATCTTCCCATTGCCAATTTGCTTTCCTCTTATACAAGGTTTTAAATGTTGATTGTAGTTAACAATAAAGGGAAACTCAATCCTCCATTTCTCTGCAGGGGAAGATAAGAAACTAGATTTTGATGGAGTGATCTCCCTTGGCGTTTGATGAAAGTCTGATAAGTTGCTTGACATCTTTTTTCTTCTGGGGTTTAGCTGGGAAGGTATAGGCGGTTTTATTTCACATTAAAGGGGTTTTTTTTGTGGTGTTAGACTGAACACAAATACGATAAAATTTTAAATGTTTCTAGATGAAGAATATTGATGGATTGCCATCAGTTGTATGTTAATTTGGGTTTGTTTAGTGATAATCCTCGTGAAGAAAAGTTGTGCTAAATTTAGCTGTCAGAAACTATTCAACAATGGTCTGGTGTTTTAAAATGCATTACAGTATTAGTTAAAATGTCTGATAACTCTTCTGATTGCCTCCATGTCAACGAAATTTTAATTAAAACTAGGAAAAGTTTTAAGATATTAAACCCCCCCAGCTTCTAAACAGACTGGAATCTGATCAGGTGTAGAACTTGATGATTTAGCATAGTGTAAACATGAACCATATCTGTTCAGTTTTCAAAGAGATGACAAGCTGTATTTAACACTGTGTATACAAGCCACACTTCCTTTAACACTAACGAAGGGGACTGAGGATTTTATGTTCGTCATCCTCTGAATTCTGTCTGTCATTTCAATTTTCTTTGTATTCTCTTTGTCATTCTATCTATAATGTTCCCCTTTTATACTATATCATAGATATCTTACAAAAATGTGACAGCTGTTAATGTCACATTCTACATATTATTACATTTTCCCCTGACAATTGGAACATGAAATTAAGCAGTTTTCACTTATTATCACATTTCCCCCTGATAATTGGAACATGATATTAAGCAGTTTTCACTTATTATCACATTCTCCATTGACAATTGGAACATGATAGTAAGTAGTTTTCACTTATTATCACATTTCCCCCTGACAAATGGAACATGATATTAAGCAGTTTTCACTTATTATCACATTTTCCCCTGACAATTGGAACATGATATCAAGCAGTTTTCACTGTATCACTATTTGACATATAACTTTTGTCATAACAGGAGTACTACTTCTTTACATGTGATTAAATCAGAGATAAAATTGAAGTAAATTGTTGATACTATCTTCATCAGACAAAATATCAGCCCTGTAATAAGCCCACCTATATCTATTGCTGTTAGGCAATGTTAGCAAAAAATGTTAATTTGTTGTCCTGTTATAGAAGCGCACACGTTAATTTCACCTGTTACTAAAACAATCTATGTGTATATAACTTCAACAAATATACATTATACATATTCATTAACACGGGTCACTCGTTACATAAGCTGATGATAACATATGAATGTCTTTAATGTTACAGGGGATTCCAATTCCTGTGGATGTCTGACATTGAGACTGTTAACAGTATTGCCATGTCCTTTATGAAGGGTCCAGTGTTGATGATGCTGAATCCTACCACTCATTACTACTACATTCCTTCAACTCCCGTAGCGGAGATCACTGTACAGGAACTCATGCAGTACCTGGAGGATGTCCGCGACGAAAAAGTTCCTGTAAGTCAAGGTCACATTGTTGTGTGAAGTTTAAACTTTTGTCAGTGTTTCTTTACTGTGTCAAGGTCATTGAAATTCCTGGGGAGAAAGGGGTAGTGCTCCTGTGGGGAGAGAGGGGTCGTGCTGCTTCAAGGAGAGGGGTAGTGCTCCTGTGGGGAGAGAGGGGTAGTGCTGCTGCGGGGAGAGGGGTAGTGCTCCTGTGGGGAGAGAGGGGTAGTGCTGCTGTGGGGAGAGGGGTAGTGCTCGTGGGGAGAGAAGGGTAATGCTCCTGGGGAGAGAAGGGTAGTGCTCGTGGGGAGAGGGGTATTGCTCCTGGGGAGAAAAGGGTAGTGCTCCTGGGGAGAGAAGGGTAGTGCTCATGGGGAGAGAAGGGTAATGCTCCTGGGGGGAGAGAAGGGTAGTGCTCGTGGGGAGAGAAGGGTAATGCTCCTGGGGAGAGAAGGGTAGTGCTCCTGGGGAGAGAAGGGTAGTGCTCCTGGGGAGAGAAGGGTAGTGCTCCTGCGGGGAGAGGGGTAGTGCTCGTGGGGAGAGAAGGGTAATGCTCCTGGGGAGAGTAGGGTAGTGCTCGTGGGGAGAGAAGGGTAATGCTCCTGGGGAGAAAAGGGTAGTGCTCCTGGGGAGAAAAGGGTAGTGCTCCTGGGAAGAGAAGGGTAGTGCTCCTGCGGGGAGAGGGGTATTGCTCCTGGGGAGAAAAGGGTAGTGCTCGTGGGGAGAGAAGGGTAATGCTTCTGGGGAGAGAAGGGTAGTGCTCCTGCGGGGAGAGGGGTAGTGCTCCTGGGGAGAGAAGGGTAGTGCTCGTGGGGAGAGAAGGGTAATGCTCGTGGAGGAAGAGGAGTAGTGCTCCTGCGGGGAGAGGGGTACTGCTCCCTGGTGATAAGGAGTAGTGCTTCTTGGGAGAGAGTGGTGATGCCAAATAAGGAAAAAAGATGTTTACTTTGAAAATGTTTTTCTATCTGTTTGGAAAACCAATCTTGATTAAAACAAAACAAGATGATTGATACAGGCCCTTTATACCTCTTGTCAATACGAGCATATAATACACACTTTTTTAAAGAAATTTTTTTGTTTTTTCAAAATTGTGATGAGCACTTTACACAAGAATGTCGCTCATGAAATACTAAGAATGTTGTTTATTTTATATCGTGATGTCATAGAAAAGTAGTAAACATAAACAATTGCCAATGGCAGATAGCCCAATGCCTACATATATTTTGTTACAAAACTTCTGTTGTATATCATGCTATTTAAAATTTCATTGTTTGTTAGATAAAAAAATCCATATATTGTTTAATGATATTACATTTGCACAAGATAAATTTCTGTTAGCATGTTTTTTCTCTTCATTTGGATTCTCCCTCAGTGGGTATCTTTACTGTACTGGGTTTGTTTCATTTCTGCCAAGTAAGTGATTAGTTCATAAATGTGACCTGGTTCTGTGATATCCCCCATGTTTGTTTCTATCACACTTTAAGGTGGATGTTCCAATATGGTTGATTTTAATCCAAAGTAAACGTGATACACATTCCATCTGAGATCTATAGGTTGTACAATGTATGTAGGATGGAATGTAGTGGAGTGACAGATAGAACCACAAATTTTAATGATGTGGCATTGACAGATAGAACCACAAATTTTAATGATGTGGCATTGACAAATAGAACCACAAATTTTAAAAAACAAAGCATTGACAGACAAAACCACAAATTAAAAAAAAACCAAAGCATTGACAGACAGAACCACAAGTTTTAATGATGTGACATAACTTGTATATCTCTTGGTTTTCTGTTCTTCTTTTGTAAATATAGAAATATGACAACAATATATATTTGGTGCTTACATATGTAGGAAAATAAGCTTGGAAATTTGTATTGGGGAAGGGAAGACATGAATTTCAGTATATTTTACATTTTGCTTTAAAATTACCATGCTAATAAAACAGGACTGGGGAGACATATTTTTCATTGTGATTATTTTTTCTTGGAGTTATGTCCCTTATGTTGATATCCTTATATAAAGTTGTGAATGTAAATGGTTTTAAATTAAGCTTTTACCTTATCTGGTCCAAATGACCAGTGAGATTGAGCCATGCCAAGATGTCTACGTTCCGTCTATCCATCCATCCTTGCTACAGTGTCTGGTGTCAATCATAGCTTTTTCAGGATGAACAAAACATCACTAACATGAAGTATCACTGACAGATGTACTAACATTACACTGACAGATGTACTAACATGGAGTATCACTGACAGATGTACTAACATGGAGTATCACTGACAGATGTACTAACATGGGGAATCACTGACAGATGTACTAACATGGAGTATCACTGACAGATGTACTAACATGGAGTATCACTGACAGATGTACTAACATGGAGTATCAATGACAGATGTACTAACATGGAGTATCACTGACAGATGTACTAACATTACACTGACAGATGTACTAACATGGAGTATCACAGACAGATGTACTAACATGGAGTATCACTGACAGATGTACTAACATGGTGTATCACTGACAGATGTACTAACATGGAGTATCAATGACAGATGTACTAACATTACACTGACAGATGTACTAACATGGAGTATCACTGACAGATGTACTAACATGGAGTATCAATGACAGATGTACTAACATGGAGTATCAATGACAGATGTACTAACATTACACTGACAGATGTACTAACATGGAGTATCACTGACAGATGTACTAACATGGAGTATCAATGACAGATGTACTAACATTACACTGACAGATGTACTAACATGGAGTATCACTGACAGATGTACTAACATGGAGTATCAATGACAGATGTACTAACATTACACTGACAGATGTACTAACATTACACTGACAGATGTACTAACATGGAGTATCAATGACAGATGTACTAACATGGAGTATCACTGACAGATGTACTAACATGGAGTATCAATGACAGATGTACTAACATGGAGTATCAATGACAGATGTACTAACATTACACTGACAGATGTACTAACATGGAGTATCAATGACAGATGTACTAACATGGAGTATCAATGACAGATGTACTAACATTACACTGACAGATGTACTAACATGGAGTATCAATGACAGATGTACTAACATTACACTGACAGATGTACTAACATGGAGTATCAATGACAGATGTACTAACATTACACTGACAGATGTACTAACATGGAGTATCAATGACAGATGTACTAACATTACACTGACAGATGTACTAACATGGAGTATCAATGACAGATGTACTAACATGGAGTATCAATGACAGATGTACTAACATTACACTGACAGATGTACTAACATGGAGTATCAATGACAGATGTACTAACATTACACTGACAGATGTACTAACATGGAGTATCAATGACAGATGTACTAACATGGAGTATCACTGACAGATGTACTAACATGGAGTATCACTGACAGATGTACTAACATGGAGTATCACAGACAGATGTACTAACATGGAGTATCACTGACAGATGTACTAACATGGAGTATCAATGACAGATGTACTAACATTACACTGACAGATGTACTAACATGGAGTATCACTGACAGATGTACTAACATGGAGTATCACTGACAGATGTACTAACATGGAGTATCACTGACAGATGTACTAACATGGAGTATCACAGACAGATGTACTAACATGGAGTATCACTGACAGATGTACTAACATGAAGTATCAATGACAGATGTACTAAAATGGAGTATCAATGACAGAAGTACTAACATTACACCTACAGATGTACTAACATGGAGTATCACTGACAGATGTACTAACATGGAGTATCAATGACAGATGTACTAACATTACACTGACAGATGTACTAACATGGAGTATCAATGACAGATGTACTAACATTACACTGACAGATGTACTAACATGGAGTATCAATGACAGATGTACTAACATTACACTGACAGATGTACTAACATGGAATATCACTGACAGATGTACTAACATTACACTGACAGATGTACTAACATGGAATATCACTGACAGATGTACTAACATTACACTGACAGATGTACTAACATTACACTGACAGATGTACTAACATGGAGTATCACTGACAGATGTACTAACATTACACTGACAGATGTACTAACATGGAGTATCAATGACAGATGTACTAACATTACACTGACAGATGTACTAACATTACACTGACAGATGTACTAACATTACACTGACAGATGTACTAACATTACACTGACAGATGTACTAACATTACACTGACAGATGTACTAACATTACACTGACAGATGTACTAACATTACTCTGACAGATGTACTAACATTACACTGACAGATGAACTACATCAGCCTTCAAGTAAACCAGATCTAACATTGATAGATGTTTGACTGTATGTGATGATATAGGTTGGGTTTCATATCTGACTACCAGGTGTTGCCTTGATTTCCAAATTTCCTGGTAGAAATACTGGGTCCCTTATTCTAGAATGTCAGTAGACCATCCCAGAGCAGGAAGTTCTGCTGTATCAGGTGTTTACATACCTAAGTCTGCCATAAATCTATTACTGGTCAACCACAACACATAACTAGTTATCTAAATTCCATCCTAAAAATTGTAAACAACTCTATGTCTTTGTCTGTCAACACAAATTAAGTTGCATGATTCCTTATGTCAGTTAAGTGGAACTAAGAAGTTTTATAGTGAATTTTAGAAAATGTTGATTAAGGAAGGGTAAAAATAAGGGTAGCTGTTATAAATTTGATTTAAAACAAAACATTGAATACGTACAGATTAAGTTTTATATCTTGTAGAAAATTTCCAATGCTTTATATGAATTACATGATATGGCGTCATATTTTTTCATTTATTTGAAAAAAAATTTTTTTCATATATTGGAAAATTTTTTTTTTTCATTTTTAAAGTGTAGTAGGTTAAATTCTGCAGCAAATTATATCACGAAAAATACTAGATGTTTTCACTAACTGTAAAAGTACGGTAATTACGATGTTCATCAAGAAATATAAATGCCATTCTTTACTTGCTATTGTGAGAGTGCAATTTGCAATATGATATACATCACGTATGCATTTAATCTGAAATGTATCATGCAGTGTATAATATATTTAAAATATGTGTGTTTATTAACATATGTGATGTAAAGTTCAGTTAATTACTTTCAGATGGGCTAGAAAAAAAAAAAAACGTCATATTTGGTAATGTGATTGGTTAATTTTCTAACATGAACCAGATAGAGTTACCTTCGTATCAAAATTTTGTAGTGGAAATCAAAATTCCTTTAAAAAGGTGTCTATTTGCTCTACTGCCATATGTTATGTAATGTTATATGCAATTTACAACTTAAAATCTGATGCATTCCGCATAGAGTACGATTGCATCCACATGTGTCGATTCTTTTATACAATGACCTCTAACACACTTTTGCTGTTTAATTTCATTTTTAGAGCATGTTGCATCAAGCAGTTTCATAAAAGTGGAGTTATAACTATATCTTAGGTTTTCTGTCTCAGTATCTCAAACATTAAACACTTTTTGTGTAACGAGTTCCTCCCTGATAGTCTGCTTGTGTAGAAATAATGGATAATAATCCCATAAATGTGTGGTTTTACTTATTTTCTTTGAATTAATTGAACATCCCTTAGCCTTCTTCAGATTTCAGATATACATATCTTGATTGTTTACAGCCATTTCAAAACGCAGAAAAAAAATTTATTTAGAATAGATTGGGAATTTGGTTGTATCAGAACTTTCCCAGCTGTCAGATAAAACTGACAATGTGTTTAATTGGTCTGTACTTTAACTGTTTTACTTATACTGATTAAATATCCCCATGTTCTCAGTTCAGGCATCATACAGTATTCATGTTTTCTGTTGTATATAGCCATTTTGAAATACTGAAAACAAAATATTGTAATAGATAAAGAATTGTTAAATAAAATTGAGGATTTATTAGTCTTTTCTTCAGCTCTCTATTTCACTTACTTAGATAGAATTAAGTACGTACCACTTTAGAAAGACTGCAAAATTTTATTTAGATGCTGCTGACAAAATATCTGCGAATAATACCCTGGTATATGGTAATACAGAGATGGCAAATATATTTTCTTCTTATATTTGTAGACAAAATTACATTGAAATAAATAAAACTGATAATTTTTAGCTCATCTAACCTGAAGAAAAACCATGGTTCATCCATCATCCGTCGTTTGTCAACTTTTAATATATATTGCAACTAATCATGAATGACTAAGCAGATTTTAATCAAATTTGGTCTGAAGCATCCTTGGGGAATGAGTAACCAATTTTGTGTAAAAAATCTAACCCCTAAGTAGATTTAGCTAATTTTCATATCATTGCTTTGCATCATCATAAACAGCAACAATTCATTTGGATCTTTGTTTCATTGAACCAGTTGTGATCCCCACTGAATAACTATACATTGCTGAGCATCAGGAGATAGATACAATCATAACTGATGATTTGTCCTGGGGTCTGGTCCCACCCCAGGACAGATTATATCTTTAAAGCCAGGTGATTACCATCCAAGAACTTAATAGCATCGCTGGACATCAAGAGATTAACAACTGAGATTAGCAACTGATCTCTGTCACCACCCCTAAGGAATTTAAAGCTGTATTTGTGGGATGAGGCTCATCAGGGGAAATATTTTCTTCTAAAGAAATGAAAATTTTTGCATCATTGACTTAAATATCCAATTGAGCGATACAGGCCCTCTAGGCCTCTTGTCAACATATCTTCTTCCTACTAAATTTTGCTGATTATTACATTTCACGGAAAAATAATCTATCAATACATATTTTTAATTTTCATTTAATGGATTTAGAAATGAAATATTGAATTTTAAAATGCAGACAATGAAAAAAAATATATATAGTTTCTGACTAACAGGCTAACAAGTGGTTGATTTCTGGTATTTAAAATGTACTTGTATATATTTTAATCTTAATGATGATACAAATATAGTGTTATCTTGCTGAAAATTGTTTGTTTAAAAAGACCTTTTGTGCAATGGATTTATAGCCCTTGAGGTCAGTTGTAACAAAAGGCCAACAGAAAGTTATCAATTTCAATGAGATATAAAGGTGGTGAGGGGAGGGGGATGTTTCTAAATATATACATATATATATATATATATATATATATATATTTGTATTGTTGTTTTATATTTCTTTGTAGGCTCTTGGAGGAACAGGTTTTTTCCAAAGACTGAAGAGAATCTTCTACGACCTTATTGTTATGGTGGTGGTAAGTCCTTAATTTCTCATATTTGTCATCATTTTTGTGTCAGCAAAAGGTTTCCTATAAGTCAGATTCAGGCCCCTTTAAAGGTAAGATGTTAAGCTGCTCCTAACATAATGTTGGCTTGCTATTGGTTTATTACTAGATAGTGTCCCTGGATAATGATAAAATTCAAGAACTGTATATCTTTGAATTATCGTAACCTGAAGCTGAGAAAATTTTCAAATCCTAAAACTTTTCTTTTTAAATTGTGCGCTTGATCAGCTGACCTCTCCAAAAACATCAATGTCCATTAAACACAAAGACTGAGGAACTATCATTAGGACAGAGAAAGCATCTCTAAGTTTGACCATTTTACCTTAAAACTGACCACCAAAAACTGACCACCAAACACTAAGATTGACCTGTGACCCAACCTTTAAACTGACCACCAAACACTAAGATTGAACACCAAATTCTAAAACTGACCACCGGACCTCAGTACTGACCACTTACTGTGAAATCAATAATTTTTGGGGGGATTTTTGTTGATTTCATGGGCACTGTTAAACCATGAATGTACGTCTTTGATTCATGTGTTAATGAACTGTTAGGATCCTCTTCTTTCTTTACACAACTTTTAATTAGTATAAATGTATTATTAAGGTATATTTATCCACAAAATCAACTGTCCACAAAAAATATTTTTTAAAAAGCCACAAAAATTTAGCTCCACAAAAAATATATAATTTTACAGTATCATATAGATTGACCATTCTATTTATGGAAACACCTCCTATAACTCTTAAATCAGTGTCTCGTATTTGCTGAATTTGATACTAGGGAGTCTGGCAGTCCTCGCGATGGCTATTCCTTCTGATGTTTGGCCTCCCTACCACTGTGATTAGTGTCGTCTGCTACAGCCTGTGCTGTATGGACACAGTAGATGATTTACCAGAGAGTGACGACGAGAACTCCGACGAAGAACATGAAGTACTACCTCATGCTCAACAAGAATCTGGTACGTATTCTTGATGTCAGCTCATACCATCCATCAAAAGATTTAATCCTGAAACTATTTAGCATGAATCTGTAGTCAAAATTAGACTAAAGATGTCCTATACAAATTCTACAGTCATTAGTCACAAATCCTGATATGAAACTGTAGACTTTCTGTTTAAACTATGCTATACTCTTGCAGAGATTCTCTGACTTTTTAATTTCCCTACAGGACTGTCATTTTATAAACTCAATTCAAACCCACCTCCTCTCCTGACTGGCATTTGATTCTTCTTTCACCATTCCTCTTATCTGTAGAGGCAAAGCAGTGGCATGTAACCCATCATCAAACATCAGCTTTCAGTCTTGAAATGACTTTTTAATAAAAATTGAGGCTTAAGCTCATGATGATTGGCAAGCAGAATGCTGCGAAAAAGGACTATGTTTGTCCTATGGAATGACCTTGACCTACTTTTAAGTTTGCAGGATTCAAATGTTAGCAGGTCTTTGAATAGCTTGAAAGTAAATATAAACCTGTACTTATGACGTTTGAACAACATTGTACTTAGATAATTCCGGTTTTCAAATTTCTCCAAATGATTTGCTTTAATTCTAGATTAAAATAGAGATATTATTTAAACTTCTTCTGTCCAGTAAACAAGGCAATCCTTGGTTAAGATAGAGACAAAGGGTACAATTATGATAACTGGTGAATATTGAGTATGGATAAGCTCAACCGACTTGCATTTTTTGGCAGGGTCAAATACATCTGTTAACAATATTTAGTGAATCATAGAGAGAATGGTATAATATGGCTAATACATTTTAGATCCAAAATTTGGATCACTTTTACTGGTGGCTTGGGTAAACATAGTTAGGAATTTTTCAACATGATGTCAATCAAAGCAGTATGCAAAAAGGTTTTCCAATGAAAAAATCTCTGAAAATCTAGAGCTCCTTGGAGTGAAACAACATACACCTGTCCCATTCCAAAGAAATGTTCAAGATTTATTGTATCAAAAAGAGTACAAATATAAAAAATGGGAATTATAGTAAAAAATTATTGTCAAAATGTAAAAAGGAAAAAAATAAGGAAATATCTGGGCAAGTTTTTTTTTAAATGTTTCAAAAAAATAAAGGGCAATAACCTTTCAGATATCATTAAGATAAACACTGTTTTACATAATGGTTATTAAACCTATAAAAAATTAAGAAATTTTTGAAAACTGATGAAGGTGATCTTACAATACTAAAATATACAAATGTTAAAATGACAAAAAAAATCAAAGGGCGATAACTCCTTTAAAATTTGTTGAATTTTAAATGCCATATTTATAAAGTTTTAAAAAAATGGTTGGAAACTGAAAGAGAGATCTGGACAAAACCACAATGAATTTCACAAAAATGAGATGAACATTGTGTAAATGACATAGGCCGTGAATATGGTCTATTTTGGCCTGTATTTAAAGACAGATATAATTTTATTGATATTTTCAAGATGAATGTATATTTTAAACCAGCGTTTGTTTTCCTTTAAATGAACCTTAAGCTCTCTACTTCTTCTACCTTGACTTGTAAATCATCAAAACATGATTTATCTCCAAATATATTGACCTTGAATAACAACATTGTTTGGCTTCTCTGGAATATCTGAATGGTAGTGCGTGACGGTGAAATCCATCATTCAAACTGGTTTCCTCGAGATGATTTAATCAAGGGTTCTTGACAGGCCTTTCAGTTCAGATTTCTTTAAAATCAGTTTGTAGCCTGAAAAGTTATTTATTTGCAACCTATAGCTGTACATTGTTTTCTGAATTCATATCCTGCAATAGGAATGAAGCTCTCTCATCTTTAAAGAAATACCAAGAGAAACATGTTGCAGGCATTTCTTTTGAAATGTGTTAGCCATAAATCTACAATGACTACACACTGACAAATGTACCAGACCCGAGAAACTGTCAGAAATATCCTTGTGGATGGCCTTGGTTTTTTTTTTAGTGTTTGTCTGAGTGTCGGAACAAAACAGTTGCCTCAATTCAAATAATCAAGTGCAGAACAACTTGCAGACAAATCCAACATATTGTTGGCATTATATTTTCTGTCATACGCATATTAATTGGAGAACCACGAAAACAAAATTCCAGAAATGCAAAGGAACACAGAAGGGGTTGGACATATTGTTACGAAGCCACATACATTTCAACAGAATAGAAGTTTTTATAACACAACCTGTAGATGATTAAGGTGTGAAGTTTCAAAAACTACAGTCACCTTCATCTTATAGCACAACCTGTAGACGATTAAGGTGTGACGTTTCGATAACTACATGGTCACCTGCATGAGATAAATTGCGGAGCATTAGCAATGACGTAGATAGTCTACAGTGTGACAAGGAATCGACAAACTTGTTTGGCTGTTCTATAATCCTTTGTGCACTAAGGTTGAAGGAGATAGTAAACAGATTGTAGACCAAAAAATAAACACAACATGGTAACAAAGTACTGTAATCAATTACGCTATGCTTTGCTGAACACTCTGTCATAGATGAGTGAGTCTCTGGCCCCAACCATTCTAGTTTAGTTCTGACCTGCTGCGGCGTATATTCCGAACTTCATTGTATGCGTACATTTCTAAAGGTAAGTTTTTAAACTATGGTATGATTGTAACCCCGGTAAAATACTAGCCGAAATATACTACTCGGCGAGAGAGAACTTCTCTTTAGCTCGATTGGTTGAGCGTCAGACTAGTAAGCCAGGGGTCCCAGGTTCGATTCCTAGCGGAGGCATTGAGATGAAAAATGACCTCTGTTACATAATGGTAAATAATCTTCACAGATTTTATTAAAAGGCATTGAAGGATGAATGGATAACAAGTTTGACTGGTTGTGTACAGTAATGCTATGCACTATGCACATGTGAAAGTACCCCAAACACATGAAAAACAGGGCATTTGGTTTGTGTTCGAAGAATTACCAGCGATCATTGCTTGTAAGGTATATGAAATCATATGATCACATTCTGGGAAAGAAAACAGAAATGTTACACAGCAAGGTTTATTTTGAGGCAAAGACCAGATTCACATTGTATTTGGTGAATTTAAGAGTGACTTTGTGAAAGAAAGCTCTGCAGGCAGCGGTACTGAAAATGAAAGTAAAAACCAGAGAAAACAAATGGTATACAATTCTATGAGTTTTTTTGGGGTTTTTGTTTTGTTTTGTGACTTTAAACACTTCAGTTATAATTATACTACTACCCCCAGTAATTCTTTTAACTTCCTCTAATTGTAAATCTGAAGATTGTTAAAAACCTTCAACTGCAAAAGAGGATAGGAATGCTGTGATATTCCGTAAACAGTTTAAATAATTACTGATAAAGTGAATGCACTGTTCATCCTAGAGGACTGAACTGCATCTACAAATATGAAATTTGTTTTTAGCTTCATAAGGAAACCTGATCCTAAACTACTGATTTCAAGAGGAAAAAATGGCTATTTTTGACGAATCGGGACTCTTGACGCTTGAAACATATAGAGAACAAAGCAATGTAAGAACTTGGATGACTCTGATGTAGATCAACAATCAAGATGGCAGAAACAGGCTGGAATATACCTTTGGAGATTTTAACAAACAACAATTAATAACTGGAAAATAAGGATTAATCTGACGTTATAGAGCTTGTTAACAACATAGAAAGGTTTAATATGTTTTCATTGTAACGGCAAAGGATGCTAGTACGTGGCAAACACGGTGATATAAATTGGTTTTGACATCTCTTTTATTGGTATTGCTATTAATAGCTGCTGCTACATTTTAGCTGAAGTGAAATTTGTTTAAATGCTCAAATGACTTCTTCCTATGAAATGAAAAGCCTAGAATCATGATAAGAAATACATTGAATTTGAACCTTTTCCAAGCTATCAAAGCATGGTTCATTTTATTAATGGGCTCATGTGACCTGGTTCCTTTAACCAATCAGGAAAAGTTAAATTGTATACCTCTCTGCAGTTCTGCACAAAATAGAATACAACAATGGACAGTAATGATAAAGAAGAACAGATTATTCAAGTGTTCAATGTATTGAGAAAAATTGCCAATTAAATAAAAGTTTTAATGATAAAAAAACAAAAAACTGTGAAGAAATGTTTAGATGATTTCAGTGTATAAACCTTATGATAACAAATCATGAAGGCACGGTTTTATTCAGATGATATAAAACTATTATAGTTAATGTTTCAGTACGTTCAGTACTTTGATTTTGAGTAAAATGTTTAACAGACAAAATTCTCTCTCATCATAGCTGTCAGTACTGTCAGATTAAAATCTTCGTTCATTACACATTTACCATCAAAACTTTAATCGGTGAAACCTTGTCTATTTTATGCCTTTGTCATTTTATAATATAAGTATCTTTGTTTGTTCTGCGTCTGTTCCCCATTGCTTGGCATCTCATAACACAATCAATGTTGGAAACCTCTCAAAAGGTTTGGTTAAAGTTCTACACCCTGTCGTATTAAGGTTATCATCAGTCAAGGTTTAAGGGTCAAAGGTCACGTTTGACAACTTTTGCAAAGGCATCAATCAATAACATGGATCCTTGTATGCATGTGAGCAGGGTCATTCAGTTTACTTTGAAGTTAGAGTTCTTTTGGTGGTTCAAAGGACTGATATATATTTGTTAATACACGTAATCTGTCTTTCACTAAGCAGTTTCTACAAACTGACGTTCAGTATATCATTCATGTCTGCTTTCTGTAGTGCACAAATACAGCTAAATCTCTACACACTGTTGTAAATCAAGACTAAAAGCTCCTAGTACTTTCCATCCACCAGAAAGCCTTCGTTAATACATGCCCATCCTTAATTAATTACACACCTTTGGGGTTTGGGACTAAAAGGTGAGAAATTCCCGCCCTCACCTGTAACATAAATATTTTCACCTTTCATCACAGATGTCTCTGTTACAGTATACAGAATTCATGCAGCAGCTACTTTTAACAAAGCAAAAATGCAGTTGTTAGGTCATCTGGCCCGAAGGGTCAAGATGACCTATAACCATCGTGTTCCTCCGTCGTCGTGCATTGCTTACTGCATTGTTTATAAAATTTTTCTTTAAAATCCTACTTCTTTAATAGGTGGATGGATTTCAACCAAATTTGATCTGATGCATCATTGGGTGAGAGTTATCATTTCATAAATTCATAATTTTGATTCGACCCCTAAGGGTCGAGCTATAGTGCCCCAAAGAGGGAGATGCTGAAATTAGTTTAAAAACCTACTCCTCCTTTCTACCTAGATGGATTTTAACAAGCTTCCACCTGTTATCAGTTAGGGTAGGCAATTATTTCCTAGATGTTGATTTGGCCCCTAGGGACTTAGGGGGCAGGGCCCCAAAAAGGGAAATTAGACAATATTTTACTTCAAAACACAATTCTTTCTTAATGCTTGAGAAGATTTTAACCAAATTTGGTTTGAAACATTATTGAAGGTGGCTTAAGATTTTTTTAAATTCAAATATTTTGCTCCAAAATGCTACTCCTTCTTAATGTGTGGGTAGATTTAAACCAAATTAGGCCTGAAACATGATCAAGAATTGGCAGTGATATCAATTTTATTTTTTTGGTCCAAAATCCAACATAACTCATCTAGAACAAATATTCTGTGCTGTTTCTCTCTAAGTTTCATTCTTATTAATGAGAAAAATATTTGGAGTTTGATCAAAAACTTCAACATGGTAACTACAGTAGCCTTTTGTGATATGATTATGCAACTGTTTTTCATGAACAGAACCTACTATTTATGAGTTTCTGATACTTTCAAGGAATGTTCAGAATTTGAATTCATCTGATTTGTCAGACCACCATCAGCGAGTTCTGTGGTTTGTCCATCCATTCGTCGATTGCCAGATAACTGTTAAGGGCCACAGCTCTCTAGTTTATAATAAAAGTGCATGTATTTTTCATTTCATTGTTAAACTAATATATTTTATCTCCCATTTGAATTATGAGAGACCCATGACACTGTTTCATCTGCTAATAAAATATGATTTTTACCACAGCTTACTAGCTGTTAAACTCCTAGATATAAGTTGTTGAATCTAGAAAGATACAGGACTTTGTTACCGGTACCTTTGGGGAAGGGGATATTGTGTGACCCAAAGCTATCCTTCCTGTTGTATCTTGTCCTGTCACTCAACATCCATGCAGGCACATTGCATTCCATTTTGCATTGTTACCATATCTGAGAACACCGCAACAGATTCAATCAGAAATTACCTCCATGGTATCCTGACATCATGTTCTACACCTGATCAGATTCTGGTTTGTATATAGAAGTGATGTGTCCATGTCTTACAAACATTTTCTTGTTAGCTTAATATGTACGAACTTTGACTGCTATGTTGTCAAATGATGAATCTTGACACATACCTACAGCTCACTTAGAAGGTAAAATATATTCAGCACTGTAAGGTATACGACCTTCACCTCAGGGTCAAAGTTTTAATTAACTCACATAAAGCTAATTTGTAAGGAAAGACATATGTTTTTGTTTATAAAAAAACGGATAGGTAGTTATTTACAGTATTCTAAATAAACACCAGTTGATTAGACGAGAGAAACTGCTCTGTTTGTATAATCTATCTGATTATTTGTCACAGTTCTCAGTTTGTAAACACCCACAGTGAGAAGTGTCCACTTTCAGAAAACAAATGGGTTTGCTCGTTATGTCTCTGTGGTATGTAAGGCTTATTTAAGTGGCGAGTAATTTAGCTGACTGTGATATATGTAATTGCTCGACACGGACTTGTCAAGTTAAAATCTTTCATTTTAGGAGGAAGTTTGAAATATACTGCATACACTGTTCATTCTTTTGTCTTGTCAGCATGGGGTCATTCTAGTAAAAACTTGTTAGGAATCTTTTCGTTTTTGTCTCAAGAATTTTATTTACCAGGAATAATTTGCCAAGTAAGTTTAGGTGTATGAACTGCATGAACCAATCAGATTTCTTGTGTATGGTTTAGGAATAAGTTCTCATTCTCTGAGAAGTCCCCAGCCATCTTGTATCAGTTGACGTCCACTAGTAGAAGGTTTAAACATATTATGCAATCATACCATTCTTTCTGTAAAGTTTTGTTGCTCTAGATAATTTTTACTTCAAGTTAAAATCAACCTATTAAGTTATATATAATAATAAACTATTATATAACTTTTGAAATTTGAATATTTCTGCTGAAGTACAAATTTATTTAGATTTATTTCAGAGTTTGATAACTTGATAATTTTCAGTTCAAATAGCATGATCACTTGGTAAGAATGTTTATATAATAAATAAAGTTTTTACTTTATAGTATTGTTATAATTACATAATTATGATATAGATGGTGATATGCTTTTTCAGTGTGTTAAAGTCAGTGTGTTGATATTTGTAATACTCAATATTCATCATACAATTTTTTTTTTACAGCTGATACTGAACAACAAAGTGCAGTACCAGGACATGAGAAATCAGAATGATGCATGATGGGAGAATCCAGAGTCAACCAATGCATGATGGGATAGTACAATTGAGACCAGTGGTGTTCAGATAGAATTCATCAACACCATAATTGACATCACCATAGCAACAGGGTGACATCAGTATATGACTCTGTGTAACCTCAGTTACCATATTCAATATGATTTCAGTGAAATCTAACATTTTCTTAGTAATTTATATGGAAAGAGTTTCTACTTGAATTATGTGGAGATGCTTACATGAGACTTATGAAAATAGAAAGTAGGATTTGAAATTGAAAAAAGAAGATATGTAAATTGATACAGTGGACAGAAGTTTAAACCGGACTCTGTGCAATACAGATATCTGCCTAATCTGGTCAAATTATTAAGTCCCAATTCCAACAATGTTATAAAATGGAATCTCCATAATCAGGAACTCTCTGCAAACAGGCCAGATTCTTTGATCCCAAAGGAGTCCGGTTTAGACAGATTCTACTGTATACTTTTTATGTAGGAGGCGTATTGTGTGGATATATTGAGTAAAGTGATTGTACAGGGAGGGTTTCATGAAGGTCAGCTATTCCCAAGAAATACAGAGGATACACACACAAAGGGACTGGGGATCTTATTACATCAAATACATGCAGATACTTTTAAAATAATTTTAAATATCAGTACATCAAGCCATGATATCAAGATATCATTGCAGCCTCACTAGTGAGGTACATCAAATATCACTACTGACATCATGTTGACCTTGTTCACTACTGACATCATGTCAACCTTACTACTGACATCATGTTGACCTCACTACTGACATCATGTTGACCTCACTACTGACATCATGTTGACATCAGTGGTGACATCATGTCAACACTACTGACATCATGTTGACCTCACTACTGACATCATGTTGACATCAGTGGTGACATCATGTCAACACTACAGACATCATGTTGACCTCACTACTGATATCATGTTGACCTCGTTCACAACTGACATCATGTTGACCTTGTTCACTACTGACATGTTGACCTTGTTCAATACTGACATCATGTTGACCTTGTTCACTACTGACATCATGTTGACCTCACTACTGACATCATATTGACCTTGTTATACCCCCCGCAACGAAGTTAGGGGGGGTATACTAGAATCAGGTTGTCCGTCTGTCCATCCGTCTGTCCGTTCCGCCGTCTGTCCGTCTGTCTGTAGACACATTTTGTCCGGCTAACTCTTCCTAAACCTGTGAACCAATTTTGATGAAACTTTACAGGAATATTAAGGATCATGTGTAGATATGCATGCCCCTTTCTTTTTTGAAAATTTTTGTAACTGGTCACTATAAACAAGTTTTCTAATAAATGTCCATAACTCCTCAGTTATTTGACCGATTGTATTCAAACTTAGTAAAAAGATGTAATTCAGTAAGGCCAATAATTGGACATATTAGACGTTTCCCAAACTGTAACCACGGAAACACAATCATGGCCTCTGATTGGTCAAAATTTAGATATTGGTCAATATTGACCAAAATTGGTATATAGGGTTATTAGGGGATGCCAAACATTATAAAATAGGTTTCGTTGCCATGACAAACATGAGTGTTTAGTGTAGATCAACAACATAATGGCAGACATTTTTTCAGTTAAACAAATTTGCCATCATTGGTCAAAAAGTTATTAAATATCGTCAGATTTTAACGGTTTCTCGGCATCAAGGGCCATCAAAGGACAAACTATTAAGACTCCTCAGATACTATCGTTATGTCCAGCTCTGTGATTCACCCACACACAGAAAAGGTGGTCTTCTGGACCATCTCTATATCAACCGATTGCCAGATGAGTTTGAGATTGATGTAGTACCCACTTATTATAGTGACCATTTTTTTGTTTCTGTGGCCCTTCAGTGGAAAATATTACTTCAATAAAGATGTAAGTATTGCAAGACTCTCTTGATCATGAACAACATGTATTCCACCCCTTCTGATTTCCAGAAATGCAGGCACATTCAGAATATGTCAATTACTCTCAGAAGAACACTTTAACTTATCCATTGACTCGTTGCAGTGTGCAGGGGGTGTTGGTCAGCCATCTAGGCGACAGTTCTAGTTCACTACTGACATCATGTTGACCTTGTTGACTACTGACATCATGTTGACCTTGTTGACTACTGACATCATGTTGACCTTGTTCACTACTGACATCATGTTGACCTTGTTCACTACTGACATCATGTTGACCTTGTTCACTACTGACATCATGTTGACCTCACTACTGATATCATGTTGACCTCACTACTGACATCATGTTGACCTTGTTCACTACTGACATCATGTTGGCCCCACTACTGACATCATGTTGACCTCACTACTGACATCATGTTGACCTTGTTGACTACTGACATCATGTTGACCTTGTTGACTACTGACATCATGTTGACCTTGTTGACTACTGACAGCATGTTGACCTTGTTGACTACTGACATCATGTTGACCTTGTTCACTACTGACATGATGTTGACCCCACTACTGACATTATGTTGACCTCACTACTGACATCATGTTGACCTTGTTCACTACTGACATCATGTTGACCTCGTTCACTACTGACATGTTGACCTCGTTCACTACTGACATGTTGACCTCACTACTGACATCATGTTGACCTTGTTGACTACTGACATCATGTTGACCTCGTTCACTACTGACATGTTGACCTTGTTCACTACTGACATCATGTTGACCTTGTTCACTACTGACATGTTGACCTTGTTCACTCCTGACATGTTGACCTTGTACACTACTGACATCGTATAGTGTCATCACCAATGTCACTAGCGATATCATAAAAACAACATGCGAAATCTAACAGCTGTTGCAGGCGAGATCATATAGAAATTTAACTTGATGTCAACAATGTCCCATTTTATTCATAAGAGTGACTGATTTTGAAAGATATTTGTGACATGCAATTGAACTTAAGAAGAAACAATGTAATATTTGAATGCCAGTTACATCATGGTTGATAATGGTTTTGATCGAATGTAAGCTGTGATTGTTGTTGATGTTGTAGTTTTGCATGTACCGGGTGACCTTACATGTATTGTGATATTTAAACTGTAGTTCAAACTTCTTCATCTTAACAGTACAAAATGTACTTGAAAGGTACAATACAATTATAGACATGTTATGTGGTTAATATACTGTGATATTGACCAGAAGAAAACAAATATTAACCACATCAAAATTCCTTAACTGTTTTATTATACAATCGAGAAAAATAATGAGGATGCACTTGATTTTCTGTGCATCAGAAGCAGACACACCACATGACTCCATCTTTTCATATCGTCATTGTGGTAATAGTAATCCGGAGGTTAGAGTATTTCCAGAAAATATTTCAAGCGGTGCTTGATATTATCCGGGTTTTCTGATGCATATCCAGTTTATATTACAATTTAACAAAAGTTACGTGTAAGGGATTCATCTAATGGCAGAATACATACAGCCATATCATATGATAACCATGAATGACATATTGTCTTGGGGCTCAAACTTCATGTTTTTCCAAAATATCTTTTTTCATTGCCATTCGATTTTTTTTTCGGTTATTTAATCTTGCTCACAAAATTCACTTATGCTATGATTCAGTCATTTTATCTAATGCCTGTGTATCATTTCATAGATATAAAATTTTGTGTATAAATCCTAAATGAAAATTTATAATTTTACAGTGTAGCAGGAAAGCTGGCAGTCAATTTAAGGTGATGGGGAGAGTGATTCATTTTGTTACAGAGAACTCAGGAAACTTCTCTCCAAATTTTACAAATTAAACTGTTGTAGAACATACAGATATGAAGTACTTGCACAGACAGTTAAAAAACCCCAACAAAAACATTCGAAGCTTTATGCAGTGACAATCAATACACAAACGGGAGATTAGGATCATGATAAATAGATACTCTGCTGATATCTCATCGTATCAACTTTATATCCGTAAAACACTAAGGCTTCCAATGCAGAAATATTTTTTAAACGTCACAAACATTTTATTAATCAGGCTTACACAAAGCTAACAATCCCACAGGATTGCAAAGTTCAAGTAAATAGTATATGTTTGCTGTGATGAGGTAACTGTGTGTTAAGTATAGAAAAATTACATAATCCAGACTTCGGCAGAAACTGTGTACATAACTGTCAGTATACAGTACATAGACTGAACTTTAACGTACAGTAAGTACTTCGTATAAACTTGTGGGAGAAATAGATTACTGTAGATTCTGTCATGTTCTATCTACTTGGGAAATGCGGTGACCTAGTTATCATGGGTTGCAGGAAAAGATGTCCGATCATCGTAGGTCTGCACTCTCATTCATGATTTTTTACTCCAATGCTTATCCACACTGGAATTTCTGATGATTAAAAAAAAAAATGATTTGAAATTTTGAATTATGTTACTAGACGCTTTCTTATTATTTTTTTCACATACCATTCTCAGGTTAGCACCTTAAAGGGCATGCAAGGTCGTTGCAAAAGGTCAGAGGTCATGTTAGTGTAGTGTTTGTAAGTGGCATGTCATTTGTGCTGTGTATATGAGGAAACAAAAAAGACAGTAAGATAAAGCAGGGTGAATTCAAACTCAAAACAAATTCATATTTATTATTTTTGATTTCTAAAATGATTATTATTTCTTTTTTCAAAATGTTCACACACCATTTTGTTATCAGTCAGATGTAATTCCTATTGATGTCTAAATCAAGGTTTTATCATAGTGCAAGTGTTCAATATTCATGATCAAAAGATAGTGCAAGTGTTCAATATTCATGATCAAAAGATAGTGCAAGTGTTCAATATTCATGATCAGTATCTAGTGCAAGTGTTCAATATTCATGATCAAAAGATAGTGCAAGTGTTCAATATTCATGATAAGTATCTAGTGCAAGTGTTCAGTATTCATGATAAGTATCTAGTGCAAGTGTTCAGTATTCATGATAAGTATCTAGTGCAAGTGTTCAGTATTCATGATAAGTATCTAGTGCAAGTGTTCAATATTCATGATAAGTATCTAGCGATGTTGTTGACTTAGTGTTGATGGTAATCTTCTTTTCATTAAGTATGTACAAGTTTAAAAGTACACATACATGTATAATTACCTAAAAACACCTACATCCTTAATACAGAGTAATAATTTTTTAGTAAGATATAATTCCTTGTGAAAGTTAGTGGCTAATGAATATATTTACAAACTTAAGTGGAAATAAATTGTAGAGAGGAACACAAAAATGGCTACATGTTCTCCAGTACCACTAGACAGACAAACTAGCGGTTTGTGATTGAAAGTCATTTCATTATCCACTTAGGAACTGTCTGTGGAGAGGCAGATCTAGCTAATGTATCAAAAACCTATCAGGACAGAGTCTCTTAAAGGTTTACTGTCAAAGTTTTAAGGCATTTGTGTTCAGTTTTGAATATTGTTTAAAACTGGTATAAGGACGTAGATTTCAATGCAGCCTCAATACATGTTTTGTCTCATGTTAATTGGATATTGTTACAGAACTGTAATCAAAGAAAAAACTTAGTTACCTGTCTGGATCTTGAATTCACATCAAGAAATTCTATGATTGCTTGATCTAAATTCAAACTACCATGACATCCCAAAGAAAAAGATGTTTGGAAGTTAAAAACAAAAAACAGCGAGAAATGCGACATAACCATTGTGGTTAATTCTTTATAATGTAATGCACCTGCCGCTAGATTGTTATGCATTATATGTATACAAATTGTTTGACACAAGATGTAACAAAATAACAAAACTACAAGAAAGTCTTTTTTTCTCTCGTTTTTCACCCCTTCTCAATTTTTTTTTTTTTCGTATCCAAGCATCTGTACATTTATTTACCAATTGAATTAACTATTTGATATCTTACCTCTTTTATTCAAACATTAACTGTAGATTATTTCGACATTCTGTTGTGATATTTGTCTGTCCCAGGTATATATTGTACAATTGTAGCAGTTAGTATCGCAAAGCAAGGTCTGTAGGCTCCTGTATAAATAGGATCTCATCATATAGTCTGTAGGCATCTCTATACCTAGGAATTATTCTTTTGTAGGTCAGTAGACATCTCTAGACATAGGAATTATTCTTTTGTAGGTCAGTAGGCATCTCTATACATAGGAATTATTCTTTTGTAGGTCAGTAGACATCTGTTTACATAGGAATTATTCTTTTGTAGGTCAGTAGACATCTGTTTACATAGGAATTATTCTTTTGTAGGTCAGTAGACATCTGTTTACATAGGAATTATTCTTTTGTAGGTCAGTAGACATCTGTATACATAGGAATTATTCTTTTGTGTGGTCTGTAGACATCTGTTTACATAGGAATTATTCTTTTGTATGGTCAGTAGGCATCTGTATACATAGGAATTATTCTTTTGTAGGTCAATAGACATCTGTGTACATAGGAATTATTCTTTTGTGTGGTCAGTAGACATCTCTATACATAGGAATTATTCTTTTGTAGGTCAGTAGACATCTGTGTACATAGGAATTATTCTTTTGTAGGTCAGTAGGCGTCTGTATACATAGGAATTATTCTTTTGTGTGGTCATTTGCATCTCTATACATAGGAATTATTCTTTTGTGTGGTCAATAGACATCTGTACACATAGAAATTATTCTTTTGTGTGGTCATTTGCATCTGTATACATAGGAATTATTCTTTTGTGTGGTCATTTGCATCTGTATACATAGGAATTATTCTTTTGTAGGTCAGTAGGCGTCTGTGTACATAGGAATTATTCTTTTGTAGGTCAGTAGGCGTCTGTGTACATAGGAATTATTCTTTTGTAGGTCAGTAGGCGTCTGTGTACATAGGAATTATTCTTTTGTGTGGTCAATAGACATCTGTACACATAGGAATTATTCTTTTGTGTGGTCAGTAGACATCTGTACACATAGGAATTATTCTTTTGTGTGGTCATTTGCATCTCTATACATAGGAATTATTCTTTTGTGTGGTCAATAGACATCTGTACACATAGGAATTATTCTTTTGTGTGGTCATTTGCATCTGTATACATAGGAATTATTCTTTTGTAGGTCAGTAGGCGTCTGTTTACATAGGAATTATTCTTTTGTAGGTCAGTAGGCGTCTGTGTACATAGGAATTATTCTTTTGTGTGGTCATTTGCATCTGTATACATAGGAATTATTCTTTTGTGTGGTCATTTGCATCTGTATACATAGGAATTATTCTTTTGTGTGGTCATTTGCATCTGTATACATAGGAATTATTCTTTTGTGTGGTCATTTGCATCTGTATACATAGGAATTATTCTTTTGTAGGTCAGTAGGCGTCTGTACACAGGAATTATTCTTTTGTGTGGTCATTTGCATCTGTATACATAGGAATTATTCTTTTGTAGGTCAGTAGGCGTCTGTGTACATAGGAATTATTCTTTTGTGTGGTCATTTGCATCTGTATACATAGGAATTATTCTTTTGTGTGGTCATTTGCATCTGTATACATAGGAATTATTCTTTTGTAGGTCAGTAGGCGTCTGTACACAGGAATTATTCTTTTGTGTGGTCATTTGCATCTGTATACATAGGAATTATTCTTTTGTGTGGTCATTTGCATCTGTGTACATAGGAATTATTCTTTTGTAGGTCAGTAGACGTCTGTGTACATAGGAATTATTCTTTTGTAGGTCAGTAGGCGTCTGTGTACATAGGAATTATTCTTTTGTAGGTCAGTAGACGTCTGTGTACATAGGAATTATTCTTTTGTAGGTCAGTAGACATCTGTACACATAGGAATTATTCTTTTGTAGGTCAGTAGGCGTCTGTACACATAGGAATTATTCTTTTGTAGGTCAGTAGACATCTGTTTACATAGGAATTATTCTTTTGTAGGTCAGTAGACATCTGTACACATAGGAATTATTCTTTTGTAGGTCAGTAGACATCTGTACACATAGGAATTATTCTTTTGTAGGTCAGTAGGCGTCTGTGTACATTAGAATTATTCTTTTGTGTGGTCATTCACATCTGTACACATAGGAATTATTCTTTTGTGTGGTCATTCACATCTGTACACATAGGAATTATTCTTTTGTGTGGTCAGTAGACATCTGTGTACATAGGAATTATTCTTTTGTGTGGTCATTTGCATCTGTGTACATAGGAATTATTCTTTTGTGTGGTCATTTGCATCTGTATACATAGGAATTATTCTTTTGTGTGGTCAGTAGACATCTGTACACATAGGAATTATTCTTTTGTGTGGTCAGTAGACATCTGTGTACATAGGAATTATTCTTTTGTGTGGTCAGTAGACATCTGTAGACATAGGAATTATTCTTTTGTGTGGTCAGTAGACATCTGTGTACATAGGAATTATTCTTTTGTGTGGTCAGTAGACATCTGTGTACATAGGAATTATTCTTTTGTGTGGTCATTTGCATCTGTACACATAGGAATTATTCTTTTGTGTGATCAGTAGACATCTGTACACATAGGAATTATTCTTTTGTGTGATCAGTAGACATCTGTAGACATCTGTACACATAGGAATTATTCTTTTGTAGGTCAGTAAGCGTCTGTACACATAGGAATTATTCTTTTGTGTGGTCATTCACATCTGTACACATAGGAATTATTCTTTTGTAGGTCAGTAGACATCTGTGTACATAGGAATTATTCTTTTGTGTGGTCATTTGCATCTGTGTACATAGGAATTATTCTTTTGTGTGGTCATTTGCATCTGTATACATAGGAATTATTCTTTTGTGTGGTCATTTGCATCTGTATACATAGGAATTATTCTTTTGTAGGTCAGTAGACATCTGTGTACATAGGAATTATTCTTTTGTAGGTCAGTAGACATCTGTGTACATAGGAATTATTCTTTTGTAGGTCAGTAGGCGTCTGTGTACATAGGAATTATTCTTTTGTAGGTCAGTAGGCGTCTGTACACATAGGAATTATTCTTTTGTGTGGTCAGTAGACATCTGTAGACATAGGAATTATTCTTTTGTAGGTCAGTAGGCGTCTGTACACATAGGAATTATTCTTTTGTGTGGTCATTTGCATCTGTACACATAGGAATTATTCTTTTGTGTGGTCATTTGCATCTCTATACATAGGAATTATTCTTTTGTAGGTCAGTAGACATCTGTATACATAAGAATTATTCTTTTGTTTGGTCAGTAGACATCTGTATACATAAGAATTATTCTTTTGTTTGGTCAGTAGACATCTGTACACAGGAATTATTCTTTTGTAGGTCAGTAGACATCTGTGTACATAGGAATTATTCTTTTGTGTGGTCATTTGCATCTGTGTACATAGGAATTATTCTTTTGTGTGGTCATTTGCATCTGTATACATAGGAATTATTCTTTTGTGTGGTCATTTGCATCTGTATACATAGGAATTATTCTTTTGTAGGTCAGTAGACATCTGTGTACATAGGAATTATTCTTTTGTAGGTCAGTAGACATCTGTGTACATAGGAATTATTCTTTTGTAGGTCAGTAGGCGTCTGTGTACATAGGAATTATTCTTTTGTAGGTCAGTAGGCGTCTGTACACATAGGAATTATTCTTTTGTGTGGTCAGTAGACATCTGTAGACATAGGAATTATTCTTTTGTAGGTCAGTAGGCGTCTGTACACATAGGAATTATTCTTTTGTGTGGTTATTTGCATCTGTACACATAGGAATTATTCTTTTGTGTGGTCATTTGCATCTCTATACATAGGAATTATTCTTTTGTAGGTCAGTAGACATCTGTATACATAAGAATTATTCTTTTGTTTGGTCAGTAGACATCTGTATACATAAGAATTATTCTTTTGTTTGGTCAGTAGACATCTGTACACAGGAATTATTCTTTTGTAGGTCAGTAGACATCTGTACACATAGGAATTATTCTTTTGTAGGTCAGTAGACATCTGTTTACATAGGAATTATTCTTTTGTAGGTCACTAGGCATCTGTACACATAGGAATTATTCTTTTGTATGGTCAGTAGGCATCTGTACACATATTGATAGTTTCAATAAAATCCTGCGTTTCTATTTGGTACCTAACGATTGATATATACAGACTAACATTTTGCCATGGAAACACAACATCTGTAGTATTTCCCTGATTATAACATGTCTAGTCTTGGTGCAGTAAACATATTTTTATTGGAAAATCCTGCAGGTGTGAGGAACAACCAATGATTTTTTGTCCTTCATCACAATTTCATTTTAACATTAATAGTACAAGACTGTATTCCTTTAAAAATAGGTAAAAGTGTTGATTTCATTCCAAAATCACTCTCTCTCTCTCTCTGCGCTGGAAACAGAAGTACACGTAAAAGCATTATAAAACTTAACGAACATATTTTTAGTTCATTTCCATCATTCTTTTTACTGGATAATTAGTCTAAACTGAGCCTTCACAGAAAATCTAAAAGCATCAATGAGTGACACCTACAGACTTCTGCGTCAACATCAATAATTGCAAAAATGAGCAAAGAAAGCTTAGGTTGTTGAAAGTAGTCAAAATAGTTTATGGTTTTACTCGTCAGTGATACCTGTACGTCTGTTTGTTGTTGTTTACATCTGTGCTGGAAATTTGAGGAGCAAGATAATAATGTGTGAACGCTAATGACATTTTGTATAAAAATTATTTTGGATATAGCTGGAGAGTATGAAGCAAGAAAGATAACTCAAGCATGTATTTTTCAACCCTGTTTATTCTTTTTTATCTTGTCAAATTTGAAAGAAACTGTGTGATGAATTAAACATTTAAAACTGATATCACGTGCAATCTTCCTAAATTCAAAATATGTACCGTGTTGTACATTGTTTACTTGTAATTCTCCTATCATTTTATCAAACCTGGTGCTACCCACTTTTTCGTTTAAAATTTGTTTAAATTATTATGTTATTTTGAAATAAATATTCAGTGTCTTTGTATGGAAACAAAGTCACATGCTTCTGTTTTAGAATTGAATAACAATACCAAACTTGGTTTTTTTTTCTTGTGGGAGGGATTTGAATTTGTAACCAATGCAGAGAATATTAATGTTGATCGTCTGACAGCGCCTACATTATTACTCAGTTCTGCTTGTTGTACCTTTTTTGTGAAGTTACCTCTAAAATTAGTTATAGTATATAATTATCATATCTATTTATATAATCAAATCAGTATTCAAAAACTCACTCATTACCAAAAAAAAAAAATAAATAATTAGTTACATGGAGAACAATAATAAGTTTGTCACAAATGTAGTACTGAACCAGATAGTGGATGTTAAAACTTATATATAGCTCTCTTGACTAGCTGGTTTTGGTATCCATGACATGATCTGCATATATTTCATTAATTTTTTTTTTATTCCCCCTTTAAATGATTGAGGGACGAAGGGGGAGGAGTGACAATATTTAGTCATGTAGTAAGTTTTTTAAAAGTCCAATTAGCATTGACTAATATTTCTCTGATTAGTGTTTACTGTAACTTTTTAATAATATCCGTAGAAACTATGTAAAGGGTATTATTTTTGCAGAGATGATGTCTGTAGGATGTGTTGAATGGTGATTCACAAAGAAATATGCTACACCATTTGTTATGTAAAAAAGTATGTATATTGTAAAATTTACACACATACTGATTTTAAGTTTCCAGTTGTATTCCTTATACGGTAATTGGAATTAAAGCAAGTAATGAAATATTGAAGTAATGTGGAGTGTTTGTAAAGAATTGAATTAGTTTAATATGTTAATTTGGCATCATTATTTATTGTAAAAATTCTGCATGGAAAAGGATTAATTTGTTGAAATATTTGGTGTGTTGATATAGTCCTTCTCTTACAAACACTCCCAAACCAACTACCCATTTACTTTATAAGTAAACAATATTTGTTGTCACAAATTTCTTAGCCTTTCCTCATTCCCAAGGTTTGACCTTTGGGCAGTTGGATGGTCTTAAAGTTTGACCTTTCATCAGTGGGATGTTCCTAAAAGTTCAACCTTTCATCAGATTGGATGTTCCTAAAAGTTTAACCTTTGATCAGTGGGATGTTCCTAAAAGTTCGACCTTTGGTCAATGGGATGTTCCTAAGGTTTGACCTTTGGTCATTGAGATGTTCCTAAGGTTTGACCTTTGGTCAGTGGGATGTTCCTAAGGTTTGACCTTTGGTCAGTGGGATGTTCCTAAGGTTTGACCTTTGGTCAGTGGGATGTTCCTAAGGTTTGACCTTTGGTCAGTGGGATGTTTCTATGGGTATCACGGGATCTCCATTGGTGATTTTTTTTCTTTTTTTTCCAAACGTCGTTGTATTTGTTTATTCCCTATCCTTTATTCCTACTTATTGTTAAATACTGTGTGTTTTTGTGCTCCTTGAACATTTTTTGGGGAGCATATCGTCGCCGCCATGTTTTTTTATTGATGTGCATGTTAAGTGTATAAGTAAAGAACAATCTTGACAGTTGAAGAGATATAAATCTGTGGATGTGATCAGTTGATGAATGTCAGCATTACATTAATGGAGTATATGACATATGTCTACATAGTAAGTAAGAATTGTGTGTACCTTGATGTGGATGTCTGTAGATCTGTCCGAGATAAATATAACAACATCAGATGTCATCGCTAATGTTCGCAAGTGATTGTCAAGGGTCCTTTATCATGGATTTGTTGTGTTATGACAAACTTGTTCATCCAAACACTTTATTAAAAAAAAAAAAAAAAAATGAAAAATGAAAAAGTTTTGTAACATTGGGGTCATTTATATAAATTTCATATATTTCCTGTGTTAAAAAATTGGTACCTGAATTTTTTTTTTTTTTTTTTAATTCGTTGATTGTGATTGATCATTTGTATATATATATATACACACATTAATTTTGCTTTTGGACTTTTTGAATATGTAAAATAATGCTATTATTATGTTGAAAGTATTATTATGTTTTCTATATATTGTATGAAAGATGATCTAGTTTTGAACAACTTATTGTGGAAAGCCAATATTTTCATGGAATTAATTCTATTTAGTAGTCTTTTAAATTACTTGCGTCATTATATTTGCATTTCATTGAATGTTTCTTCACTGTCTCATATTTTCTCCTTCATTTCTGTATATGTGGTGTATAAAAAATAAATGGTAAGTCATAATTCAATATAATTAAGTCTGAGTTGTTTTTTTCTTTTCTGTCTCTCTCTCTCTCTCTCTCTCTCTCTCTCTTTAATGCGTCTTTCTTTAGAACTAGATATGCTCAACAGAGAACCAAAAACTAAACTGGATGAAGTTGCAGGAGTTTGAATTAAATCTAAATAAATATTAAATTGCATTTGTTAAAAAAAAACCTTAATATTGTGACCACTTACCTGTCACATTTCCAGGTTTTAATTGAAGGCTTCAGTTTATTAGACTTAAATGTTGTCCCAATCGGGAAGCATTACCTGTCTCTTACAGCCCTTAAGTTTCAGTAAATTTGTTAAGGCTAAATCCAAGCGGAAGATTTTGAAAATAAAACCTATTACAGTGTATTTTTTTCTCTCAAATAATGTGTTTGGTTCATTAACTGAGTAGATTATTCCATAATATCCAGTTTGTAAAATACTCTGATTCCAAAGTTTATACTCTGCCCTTGTACATTTTTCATGACATCATATAGTACTTCTACTATACAGTGACCGAGCCAGCCATCACAGTGGCCTTTCCATGTTTTTCTCCAAATGTAAGGCCACACACAAAGTAGCTAAAACATGCCAATATGCAATATACAAATACATTTCTACATAGTGATATGATTGAATTCATTTTTAAAAACATATATACATAATTGGTAAACATTTAAGATCAAGTCAAATTTATGAAAATAAAGTTTCTGAGGTCTAAACAGATTGGAGCCTTTAAACTTTAAAGAGTTGAAAAGAAATAAAATATTATTAAGAATGTTTTAGTCATACGTAAGACATATGAAGGATGACTTTATCAATGTCAGGGTCTCTTATTTCACCGTTTTGGAATATTTACATGCATGTCCGGCAAACAAATTTTCAAAGAGATTGACTCTTATTAATGAATGCTGGCATCAAAAAGATTCAGCCTTATCGATTATCAAGTCTTTTTCATGAACTCGTCCCACTCTATGTAAGAAGTACGAAAGACTTTATGTCTTAACACATAAACTTATAAAATTTTTATAAGCTATTAATTTTGTATTAATAATGTCTGGATTATCTATCAATTTGACAATGTCAGTATCTGTACATGTGTTGGAAGAGATAAAAAAAAATCATAATATTATACAGTTTAATATTTGTTATGCTCCCCAAAGAGAGAGCATAAGGTCACTGCTTTGACTGTCCATCCGTCATAATATTGTCCAGAGTATTACACTAAAACTATAAGAGGTATAAACATAGAACTTCATAGGTAGATAAATCACAGCAAGGAGAAGTGCAGTACTTATGAACCGTCACTCTCTTTTGCATAATTTAGGAGTTATTGCCCTTTGTTAATTTACATAGTTAAATTTTGTGTTGAGCATTACTCTAAAACTATAAGAGGTGTTAACATAAAACTTCCTAGGTAGGGAGATCTCGACTAGTAAGAGAGCAGTGCACAAGATCCAATACTCTCTTATGCATAATTTAGGAGTTATTGCCCTTTGTTAATTTACATAGTTAAATTTTGTGTTGAGCATTACTCTAAAACTATAAGAGGTGTTAACATAAAACTTTAACTAGTAAGAGAGCATTTTTCATAATTTAGGAGTTATTGCCCATTAACGATTTTTCATGCTTATATTTTGTCCAGAGCATTACACTAAAACTGTAAGAGGTATTAACACATCACTTCCTAGGTAGATAGGGCTCAACAAGTAGGAGGACACTGCACAAGAATCATAACTCTCTTACTACCCTTTGTTATTTTTCAAACTTAGATTTCGTTCTAATTGGGAAGCATAACCCATCTCTGACAGCTATTTTTAATTTTTAATGATAAATCCTCCATTGACCACAAACAGATGTAGATGCACAATAACATGTACTTGTTGCAATATTTCTGGAAGAGGGGGGAGAGGGGGGAGGACAGGGTTGTGGAGTGCATCATGATTAGTAAAGAAAAATAACATAATGCCAAAGATAAAATTAATGAGCCTCAGAAAAGTCGATAGTATTTGGCAAGAAAAAACTATTAAATTTTCACATCTTTTGTATCAAATAATTGTATAATAAACAAGCCCCCTTCCCTAGAATTATTGTTACAGGCTCCTGAGTGTAGATAGAAATCTTAGCACGATCTTCACTTAATTACCATCCATCTGACATCAGATTCAAAGGGAAATGAAATGAGTGTGACATATGTACACATGTTTTCTGGCAGGTTGGCTGTTTATAAGAAATTTATAATGTAATTTAAGATACATTCTGTCAATGAAGAAAAGATCTTAAAGTCTTCAGAACACCCTGAAATCAATTTACCTTCGTTATAGAGAGCGACAACAATGTTTTATTTCTGCTGAAACTGGAATTGTCTTACTATTTTCCAGTGTTAAAAGTCCATCATGAATAATTTAGGAGGAAAGGCAAGTGAAGTTGTTTTAAGTCCTTGATGTTCTCCCATCTGTTGCAACAAAAAAATTGTTTTTGAGAGCTGATTGTTTTTCACCTAAAGCCAATTACGTATGTGATTAGTGTCAGAATGTATTTCTCACCAACATTTTGTTTTGCATATAAATTATTTGAAGTACATGTACAGCAGGAATCCATGTCATTTGTTGAACTTCACAAATTGCTTGTGCATATTTATGTTTATTTGTTTTGTTTATTTTTTATTTTGTTGTTAAATTATAACTTTGTTTTGATTTTACTATTTACTTTTTGTGATAACATTCGATTTGTTAATTCATCTTGACTTAATGTTGAATATGGATGTAACTGGTGTATGTTTATACAGGAGTCAGAAAAAAAAGTATCTAGAAATTTTATTTTGTTACTAAATATCTTCACTGGAAGTCATCATTAGAAAACTGTTGATTATAAGGGTAATAAAGTGTTTGCTGCTTTACCTTGACGTTCTAAACATGGATGAGGGGGGCCATAGACTTTGGTACAAGTGTACCCACCTTTCTACCCATTCTTATTTCCCAGAGTTAATGCCCTTCGTTTTCAATATCAGGATAACGATAAACTTGTCAACCAATAGGGGCTGAGAATGCACACGACCATAGAGTTATTTTTAGCTGATGTTCATGTTGTAAATAACTTTTTACAACAGTCAAACATAATGGTAAATACTGTATTTACCGATTTACAAATGTCGATGTTACAGTAAATATGTTTTACTGTAGGCTACCGTTTAATAGTAAGTTTAGATCATTATGGTAAATATGATTTTGTAATAGATAATTGATATTTTACAACAGATGCAGTTGATCATTACGGTAAATATGAATATCCCTTTGTAAAGATATAGTGAAGAAATATGAGTTAACTGGCCTTGCTGTTTTTCTGAACCATTATTCTCTAAAAGTACATATCAACTAACCTTTAACTAAAATAAATAGTAGTTTAAATTAGTTAAATCTTATAAATAATTTTCAAATTGATTGTGCTTATTTTTTTAACAAATGATTTCGTTTGATAATTGTATGCATGTTTTAACTATTAATAACTTTATAGATTTTTGTAACTATTAAGATGGTCCCTTGAATTAATTCATTGATCTCCAAGAGTTATTGCCCTTTGTTTCACTCTCTCAGTATAACCTTGGCAGCCGAGAGAGAAGCAGAAGAGGTCAGGCAACAGCGGTAAGAAGAGGAGACTTAACAGCCGACGGGGACCAAGAATGGTTGGTTGGTTGGTTGGTTGATTGACAGGTTTTTGGCCCCATGACTCCTCCTATATTCGGGTATCGTCTCACCGACGAACGTCAGTGTTCTGTCGACGTGATGGGGCGACCTGTATTCCCCACATTGGGATGGAACCGTCTGTAGCTGTTCACTTGATTATACTAGTCTTAGAAGACAAGTCCGTCTAAAATCTTTAAAGTAATTGTATCGTCTTGATACTATCCCTATACGCCTACTCTTGTGGGAGTGAGAGGGTTGGGGGTAAGGAAAGGAGACTTCACGGCTCGATGAACATAAACGCTGTGACGTCACCGGGCCTAGTTTCTTATCACTGTTTATCATACGTCACTGTTGATTATCTTTTGATCGATGCAAATAATAATTTGCGATGCAAATACTACTGAATTCAAATTATTTCATTGAGAATACTTGTTTATTATTTCAAATGATGAGATATAAACAATATTTAAGTATCACGTGATAAAATGTCAGTTTGCCTCAACAGCACAGTCACAATATACACGACTTTTGGCTTAAATTTATGTAAATTAAATATAATGATATAAATATATTAATATAAAATATACTAAATAGTAAGTATGGGACGAAATAGCGGTATCCGCTGTGCTGTTCTTACGGAATTACTATGATTCTCCGTCTGTCGTCCTATGTGGCCAAACAGCAATAATTATTTACATATTATTTTGCACCTGCGCAGTTGCAGAACTATTATCTTGTTTTGCAGCGACAGAATGATAATATTCGCTGAGTCCCCCCTGTGGTCGACACAAAACTTGCGGCATCGTTTTTTCGTTATCTCTATGGCTGGGTTAATAAATAGAGTCATTTCACCTATTCCACAAGAAGCAAAACAAAATATTCTTGTGACACATATGAGTTCCGTACTAAAATTGACTTCTTCGTCCAATTTCACAGAGAAACGGCGTTGAGCGAAGCAAATAAGTGCAGGAGCGAAATTGTATATACTTGACCAGCCTTAATAATAACTTATAAGCACGTGTACAGGCGCTGATAACTTGCGTCCGGTCCTACTTAAATCGCATGACCATATATCAATATAGGTATGTTTAAACAAAGTTTAGTCGTCCATACAAAACGACACGAGAGGAACCCGTCACGGAGAGTATGACCTCTATCCTGTGTGTACCATGCAAAATGCTACACCACTTATAATCTTCGACATTCACTTCGGGTACGGAGGCTGTTTTCACATACATTGCAATTGAATAGTGCTTGGTCAACATGCACGTTATTCTATCACAGTGACGTCACTTCCTTCCCACAAGTTGGCTTTGGTTTACCTATATAACAGATTGAGCAAAAGCTGCATTAGAAAACAACAGCAGTATTTTTACCAAGTGGAAATTCATTAAGAGAAGATGATTGTTAAAACAAGAGGCAGTATTATTCTATTTAAATGTATTTGTAAAATCAGGATACTATCAGACCATATAAATTTTAGGGATCCATCTCTCGACACTACTGTGTTTTTGTGTCTTTAAAAAAAAAGAAAAAAAAAAGAAAGAAAAATGGGGGAGAGAGAAAATATAAGTTAAGTTAATAATGGAAGCAGGCAAACAATGCCTCTATGTCCATATCTAAATTTGATTTACAATGGAATTGATATATCATACAATGTAGGAGGAAATAAATCGTTACATAGTGACTTAGCAATTTGCGGTTTTGTTCATCATGTAAGATTGAGATATAGGTCTTTTTATAATTCAGTGCTTAATATGGCATGGCATTCCTGGCTTAAATGTCTCATTTTCTGCTGATGCCAACAACTTTTCTGTTCCATGGTGGTCCCCGAACCCGATAGATGTAGGCTTCAGATTCTAGTTTTTTCTTTTTGCCTCTTTATATAATTAATTTACTTTCCCTTTCTCGTTCCAATTTGGTCAGATCATTCCTGATTTGTGTAGAAGAAAATTGTTCGCAGCTGCGTAGCCTTTCAATATTTTTGAAAATATTTCTTTTATGTATCAGAGAGTCAAATTTTACAAGCATTGGTTGCCCCTATTTCACTTGACGCTGTACTTGAATCCGGGCGTTTTCCCAGTCTAATGACCTTCTGGGGTTCTCCCTGAGCATTTCAACACGTTTCAATGATCCTCTCCACTACCCGAACATCAGCTCTCATTCTTTTATTTCCATCGTCATCGGGCTTTTCAGGAACTCCAAAAATGACCATGTTGTTCTCCCTGCTTTGCCGATCCTTTACCTCGGAGAATATTTCATCCGAACACTGAGGCGTTTTCATCTGTTTCATAACCATTTCCATTTCCTATTTCAATATGCATTCGACATCAGATATTCCAAATCCTCCAGTCTTTTCTCGAATGTTTCCATTATCTCGCGACACCTTTCCTCAATTTTCCAATCGGTCAGTATACTTTTCTCAACTGTCACTCTACACGGAGGACAAAACCACATACTATCTGATCGGCACAAAACTTCGTAGGTACGTACATCCATGTCAATACATCCAATACAAAAATATTCCCAGCATCTGTTGCATTTAAGCATTTTGGTTGTCTTATCAACATACACCTTTGAACACAACTTACACCCAGATTGGATGACGTTCAGGGTATCCATCCTGACTTCTGTAGACGAAGACACTGATCTGGCTCTGGCAACGGCTCCAATAGTACCACTTCCGGCTTTACTTTTTGTCATTTTCCATAAAATCTATCAACGTTATTCACTCCAAGACACGTAACCAACTTTTTTTGTAGTAACTTACATCAATCCCATGTTTCTTTTGTTATGTTTACTGTCGAAAACAGTAAATATCTAAGAAAATTACCCCAATGCCTAAGGATCTTCCTGAATCACAACCGGTAACCATGGCGTGACGTCACAATATAAGTACTTAATCTCGACACAACATTATGTTTATACAAATTACCTTCTATCTGTTCCGAGATTTTACCCTAAATACCTTCTCTATATAAGTTCTGAGATTTTTCTCTATATACCTTTTTTCTATAATCGTCCGAGATTTCATACCAATTACCTTCTCTTCATTTCTGTCCGAGATTATACCCTAAATACCTTTTCTCTGCAACCGTCCGAGATTTCACGCCAAATACCTTCTCTAAAAACGTTTCGAGATTTTACACTAATTACCTTCTTTCTATAAATGTTCGGGATCCCTCCTCTGTTGGCTGACCATCCATTGAGTGAGACAGTCGTTTGTTGCGGTCAAACCTCGCACAGTCAGTTGGGGGCGACTCACACTATCGGCAAAATGTTTGCTATACCTCCTCTCACTTTCCACCATAGTCCTGGAGTTTGATCTCGGATTCTGGAAATGAAGGCTAAATGACGGCAAACGGGGCCCACGTGCACCCTAAAACATAATATTGCCCTATTTAAACAACAGTGAATGGACAACCCTACACATGCATATGAATACTAGTTTTGTTCATTCAAGTATCTTTCATAATTCTATCAATTATAGAAATACGTGATAGACCCACACGATAGCGAGACGATGCTAATTTGTAAATGAATCTTACCCTTGGTCGAAGTTGTCTGTTTCTGTAATCTCTTGTCGCTACAGCATGTGAACCAGTAAGTTGCTCAACTTCTGCTTCGAACTCTACAATATGGTGAGCAATCTCGGCCGGATCTGGTGCCGCTTGGACAACACTTCTTGTTCCTATTGCGGCGTTAGGCCTGGCTACAACGCGGCAGTTGCTTTGTGGAGGCAAAACGGAATCTTCGCTGCTAGAGGAGGATGGCCTTCCATCGTCTTCTATATCGAGATCTGGCATTTCATCTTTTTCTAAGATGTTGTCCGTGGTTTGGTGTCCATGATCTCTCCATGAGGCAGCCATTTTGGATCGGTTAGGCAGTGTGGTGTTGTCTCTTTGTAACAGGACACTGTTTGACATCGTATCCGTGTGCCTAGGTGAAGGCGACCCCTCGCATCCGCTTGATGATATATCGTCTTCATTTCCATCTTCTCCATTGTCCTCATCCACTGACACATCGCCATGTGTAGGAATCCTACTCCGTTTCCCCATTCGAAAGAAGTTGGAAAGTCGTGATGAAATGGTGGAAGGATACCGACTTTGCACTGACAAGGATGATACATCACTATATGATGTCCCTGGCCTACGGTCCATGCGTTCCTCTCCCTCGAAGAAGTTTATGTCCATTTCACTTTCTGTGGCAACGGTCCCTGAATCTGAATTTCCGTCCATGTGAAAGGGAGGGCACATGTGTAAACTTAACACTTTGTCCTCCTCTGAATTGGTCTCCGATATTGCCAGTTGACATTTCTCTACAATTTCTCTTGTGACTGGCGCATTGTGACACTCCAAATCTTTCTTTGAGTCCGTAAAACTAGAACTTTGGCTAATCACTTCCGAAATCTTCCCGTCGTCATCACAGGAACGCTGATCCCTGACCTTCGTGAACTTACAACCCATCGTAATATGATGATTATTTAGCAGCTAGCAGTTGTATGCATTTAGCATGGCTCGTAGCTAGGCTAGAGTTACGCGATCCCGAAATGCAATCATAACAATGACTATGACGTCATAATGTTTCAATGACCATTACGTCACGAGTTATTTATTCTCTGGTGTTGCAGACGTCAAATGTTTTCTTTCCTACTGGCACTGCCATTATCGGAATACACCTGCCATATATGTTTTTCTGTATTCGGCAATGGATAAAAACAGCTGTATTTAAGCACGTGCATTAATTCGATAGAGTTACTTTCTGAATTAATTTAAATATCGTGTTAGAAAATATAAATAAATGATGAAATAATCAATTTTGTATGATATAATGAAGAAGTTTACTTACGGAAACTCTTAAAATAGCTGTTATATCAATCCGAGACTCGCCACCTTTGCCTTTGATTATGAGACACTGGTCATGTATTCTCAATATGTAACTTGCTATTTAACAAGTGTCATTTATTTATTTACTGACGACACTGAAGAAGTTTTACATACAAAGATTCGCCGAATCTCGGAGTTAATGGACTCATTTCTTCAACAGACGTTATTTCGGTAATTCGTAAATCCAACCGCATGCACCGTAGAATTTTTTTTATCAAGAACGGTTATGTTATTATATTCAGATTTTATGGATTTAAACAAAGCGATGTCCTGAATTTCTCGGTTTTTCAGGAGGAGAGTGTCCGGATTGTCTCGGTTTTACATACAAGATTTATTTTTTTCATACGCCAAAAAAGGCAAATAAATCTGCATTTTGAGTAAAAATCCGAGGGATTATCTGTTTCGGACGTGCGAGTACACATAGACGTTTGTGAATGATTTAGATAAGTGCAGCTGCAAAAGCGAAACGTAATTTTTTTCAGAAAATCGAAAGGTGAGACGACGTCGTGAAAACGTTTCGTGATCTTATGGATGGGAAGTAACTCTAATGGAAAGTTATCTATGATGTATCAATCTCTATTCCAGTTTTAGATCATGGTGACACTAGACTACCGATACACGATATGTCTAAACATGCACGCCAATGAAAACTTCAGGAACTGATTTCTGGGAACAGCGATTATCTCTTTAGACTTAAATCCGTGGACTATTGTCATCCCTGAACTTAATTTTGTAGGCTATTGTTATCTCTGAACTTAATTCCGTGAGCAATTGTCATCTCTGATCTTAATTCCGTGAGATATTGTTATCTCTGGTCTTAATGTCGTGGGCTTTTATCATCCCTGAACTTAATTCCGTGAGCTATTGTCATCCCTTAACTTAATTCCGTGAGCAATTGTCATCCCTGAACTTAATTCCGTGAGCTATTGTCATCCCTGAACTTCATTCCGTGGGCTATCGTCATCCCTGAACTTCATTCCGTGAGCTATTGTCATCCCTGAACTTAATTCCGTGAGCTATTGTCATCTCTGCTCTTAATACCGTGAGCTATCGTCATCCCTGGTCTTAATTCCGTGAGCTATTGTCATCTCTGAACTTAATTCCGTGAGCTTTTGTCATCCCTGAACTTTATTCCGTGAGCTATTGTCATCCCTGAACTTAATTCTGTGAGCAATTGTCATCCCTGAACTTAATTCCGTGAGCTTTTGTCATCCCTGAACTTCATTCCGTGAGCTATTGTCATCCCTGAACTTAATTCCGTGAGCTATCGTCATCCCTGAACTTAATTCCGTGAGCTATTGTCATCCCTGAACTTAATTCCGTGAGCTATCGTCATCCCTGAACTTCATTCCGTGAGCTATTGTCATCCCTGAACTTAATTCCGTGAGCAATTGTCATCCCTGAACTTAATTCCGTGAGCTATTGTCATCCCTGAACTTAATTCCGTGAGCTATTGTCATCCCTGAACTTAATTCCGTGAGCTTTTGTCATCCCTGAACTTCATTCCGTGGGCTATTGTCATCCCTGAACTTAATTCCGTGAGCTATTGTCATCCCTGAACTTAATTCCGTGAGCTATTGTCATCCCTGAACTTAATTCCGTGGGCTATCGTCATCCCTGAACTTCATTCCGTGAGTTATCGTCATCCCTGAACTTAATTCCGTGAGCTATTGTCATCCCTGATCTTTATTCGGTGAGCTATTGTCATCTCTGCTCTTAATTCCGTGAGCTATTGTCATCCCTGAACTTAATTCCGTGAGCTATTGTCATCCCTGAACTTAATTCCGTGGGCTATCGTCATCCCTGAACTTCATTCCGTGAGCCATTGTTATCCCTGAACTTAATTCCGTGAGCTATTGTCATCCCTGAACTTAAATCCGTGAGCTATTGTCATCGCTGAATTTAATTCCGTGGGCTATCGTCATCTCTGCTCTTAATTCCGTGAGCTATTGTCATCCCTGAACTTAAATCCGTGGGCTATTGTCATCCCTGGACTTACGTGGGTTATGGTCATCTTGCTGAACGGGTTTCCCTGCTGTATGGTCACCACTGTGGGCTGATTTCCGTGGTATATGGTCACCACTGTGGGCTGATTTCCGTGGTATATGGTGACCACTGTGGGCTGATTTCCTTGGTATATGGTCACCACTGTGGACTGATTTCCGCGGTATATGGTGACCACTGTGGACTGATTTCCGCGGTATATGGTCACTTTTGTTGACTGATATGTGGGGATAATGATCATCTGGCTTGACCTAATTCCCTGGACTACGGTCATCTCGCTGGATTGATTTCCGTTGTATATGACAACCTCTCTAGACTGATCCCGGGGTCACCTGTCACCTCTCTAGACTGATTCCGGGATCACCTGCCACCTCTCTAGACTGATTCCGGGATCACCTGCCACCTCTCTAGACTGATTCCGGGATCACCTGCCACCTCTCTAGACTGATTCCGGGATCACCTGCCACCTCTCTAGACCTATTTCCGGGGTTACTTTTCACATCTCTTTACTGATTTCTTGGGTCACTTGTCACCTCTCAGGACTGATTTCCGTGAAAAATTGTCGCCGCACTCGACCGATTTCCAGGGTAAATTGTGACCTCTCTTGACTGATTATTGGGGTCAATTGTCATCAATGTGGACTGATTTCCGGGGTCATCTGTCATCTCTCTGGAGTTATTTTCGGGACTAGTTATTACCGATGTTGACTGATTTCCGTGGTCACCTGTCATCTCTCTGGAGTGATTTTCGGGATCAGTTACCACTCATGTGAACTGATTTCCGGGGTCGATAATTACTGTTACCGTGTGTTTACTGTGGGTTACCGTTTTACAACTGTCGGTAATTACGGTTACCATGAGTTTACAATAGGTTATCGTTTTACAACTGTCGGTAATTACGGTAACCATGTGTTTACAGTAGGTTACCGTTTTACAACTGTCGGTAATTACGGTTACCATGTGTTTTCTGAAGGTTACCGTTTTACAACTGTAAGTAATTACGGTAACCATGTGTTTACAGTAGGTTACCGTTTTACAACTGTCGGTAATTACGGTAACCATGTCTTTAAGGTAGGTTACCGTTTTACAACTGTCGATAATTACTGTTACCATGTGTTTACAGTAGGTTACCGTTTTACAACTGTCGGTAATTATGGTTACCATGTGTTTTCTGTAGGTTACCGTTTTACAACTGTCGGTAACTATGGTTACCATGTGTAGTATGTAGGTTACCTTTACCTTAAAAATATCATTACTAATCCTTTGACAACATACAACATTTTCCATTGAAAACTTCCGTGTCGACCGCTGCAAAGAATAACCTGAAATGCCAATATTCTGATTGAAAATAGTTTATTTTCATCACGTGTAACATTTTAAATCATACAATATAAAAATATATGTATAACAGGCGAAGTGATTGCTTCTCTGACTAAACAATAAAAGGTACAGGTATTATGTCGCTTGGCACTAGTTCAATTATGCACAACGTATGGTATTGACATATATATATATATATACTTATATAAGATATGTTTTAATATGTTATATAGGATCCAATTACGGTATCCATTATTCCGTTTCTGAGAAATTACGAATGTCTCGGCTTCGCCGCCGTTTGAGTCGAAAAAAACGATAACATCAATTACACCGTCATTTTGCGTCTGCACTGCGGCGACAGAACGAGGTTTTTCGCTGCTTCACTTTGACGAAATATTATTCTTTATTTTGCCGTCCCGGGGGTCAGAATGATAAAACATCATCGATATTTCGACCCGAGATCGTTATTTCACCCTGTCATTTACAAGTACTGAATAGTAATGACAGAACGATGATCATCATTATTTCACTTCGCGTGGTACGAGAACGATAGATAAAGATAACCCGAGCGAACTACCTCTATATTGGTTTGCTGAGTAGTGACTTTGTAGTTTATTATTTCGTTCTCTCGATAAGAAGTAGTACAGCGATATGATCAGTTCTCTAAATACTGATTTCATGCTTTTGTTATCTTCATCCAGTCACTGTTATAAGCCATTGTTATACGGAGCGACATAGCGTATATCAGCTACCTTATAACTACATATAGAGGGTCGTTGATATGTAGCGTATCATCCTTAAACCAAGACAAAATGTCCACAACAAACGGTACTTCCACAGGAATGGAACTCGCCACGAAGAGTTTCATCAACACCTGGTTTGTTTGGCGACGTATTTGATATACGCCAGGAATGTTCATTCACTTTTACTGTGAACGTTGTTTTAACATCCATGTGCCGTTCTATCATGGTGGCGTCACTTCCTTTCTACAAGATGGCTTTGATCCTTGAATGAAAGAAGGAAGGGTTTCATTAAAAACTGCAGGTACGTAAAACAAATATCTGTATTATACTTCCGTGTTAAAAGCATAAAAGTACATCAAGTGAAATTATCAAAGTAATATGATGAAATGACATTGCTGCAACGATGTAACACAGGTAGCATTATTACTCTAGTATTTAACTGTACCTATGAGGACAACAAGATAAAAATGTCTGTATGCATAAACCTACTATATCTGTTTCTACCATGGAAAAT